AGGATTTGGGAGATTGGGAATTTGGGAGATTGGGAATTTGGGAGAGTTGGAATTTGGGAGATTGGGAATTTGGGAGATTGGGAATTTGGGAGATTGGGAATTTGGGAGATTGGGAATTTGGGAGATTGGGAATTTGGGAGATTGGGAATTTGGGAGATTGGGAATTTGGGAGATTGGGAATTTGGGAGATTGGGAATTTGGGAGATTGGGAATTTGGGAGATTGGGAATTTGGGAGATTGGGAATTTGGGAGATTGGGAATTTGGGAGATTGGGAATTTGGGAGATTGGGAATTTGGGAGATTGGGAATTTGGGAGATTGGGAATTTGGGAGATTGGGAATTTGGGAGATTGGGAATTTGGGAGATTGGGAATTTGGGAGATTGGGAATTTGGGAGATTGGGAATTTGGGAGATTGGGAATTTGGGAGATTGGGAATTTGGGAGATTGGGAATTTGGGAGATTGGGAATTTGGGAGATTGGGAATTTGGGAGATTGGGAATTTGGGAGATTGGGAATTTGGGAGATTGGGAATTTGGGAGATTGGGAATTTGGGAGAGTTGGAATTTGGGAGAGTTGGAGTTTGGAAGAGTTGGAATTTGGAAGATTGGAAATTTGGGAGCTTGGAAATTTGGGAGCTTGGAAATTTGGGAGACTTGGAAATTTGAGAAACTTGGGAGAATTGGAAGAATTTGGAAATTTAGAGATTTGGGATTCTCGATATTGGAGAATATATTTTTCGTAGATCAAGGCATTTAGAAATTTGGGGATTTGAGACTCTTGATATTAGAGAATCTGCCTTGGGAATATATCCACCTCTAATTTTGGAAATCTAGGTTTGGAAATTTAGAAATCCAAGGATCTACAAAATGTAAATATTTGAAAATTTATAAACTATAAAAGTTTTGTAACCTACTACCCTCTACTTGTAACCTATCTAAAGAATTAAGTTTGAGAATCTGTGAACGTGAAACAATTTCACAATGCGAGTTTCAGTTATGACCCAGTATCGCTGCGACACGCTCCAGATGGAGAGGAATCGATTCGGTGATTTGTTGGCTCAAAGAAACTCCCGGAACGAAGGGCGATCATTAATTCTATGGTCGTGTGGACAGGCATTCAAGTGTCACGATCCAGAGATTCCAGTTTTCTCAGATCTTTTTTATCGACACTTCTTTGTAACTGCTGTTGTGAAGTTTGAAAGAAATAGGTGACTAGGGTTTTACATATGAAAACGTGGCCGAATACAAATTTTGGGAAGAAATGTTTAGGGAGAGATTACTTTGACATTTATTTATTAATATGTTTATGAACATTATATCTGTATTTATCAAGTTAATTATTATACCATTGATGTATGCTGATGTTGAAATATTTCAATAATAAAGAAGTCTGTTTAGGGTTGATTACACATTAATGTGGAGATATAAAAATTATAATAAAACCACAAGCCAGTGAGACTTCACTGACACATCTCTCAAATCCCTTCAAAATTAAACTAAAAAAAATAATCTGAAAGAAAATTGAAAACAAAATTCCTTACAATTTCTCTGTGTATCTCATAAATGTTTCAAAAAGAAAGAGCGTCATAATTCAAAGAGTCCAATGACACATTTACGTTTCGAATCTTTTTCCCAACATCTGGACAAGTCCGAGCAAGCTAAGGTGCAACCAGTGAGCCCAGCAAGTACATAGCCGACTGTGGGTTCCGAACCGTTATATCGCGTCTTAGGCAAAGGTGCGAGGCTGACGGGAGAAGAAGAAACACATGTTTCGTATTAGATCTTTTCTACCTGTCGACCCGAGCCAGGGCGTATAGAAAATGTTTAACGAAGAATAACCACGGCGAGGCTGAAGGTAACGCGACGAGAAGACGAAACACGTGTTGGCAAAGGTCGTGGACATTGTCCGTGAAACGTCCAGAACCTGCTGGAACATATTGGCAACACATGTTTCCAATTTCGGGATGCACTTTGCTCACGGCAAAAAGGTGCATAGCAAGGTGGTTATACAGCCCAGTCGTAAAAGGCAGGTTCCGGAATCCAACCTGTCATTCAACGGAGTTTCGTCCTTTCTGGTCAAATTTGCACACGTGACGCGAGAATTTTCCAACCTGACGATCCGTCATGTTTCGACGGAGTGAAAGAACTTTTCTGTGGGTATATCTTTCTGGTGGATTGAAAATAAGGTAGAGTGAAATTTTTTGGGGGAGAAGGTAGCTGCTTATTGCTGCTGAGGACAGCTGAGGAATATAAAAATATTAGGATACATTATACTTTAAAAATATTAGGATACATTATACTCAATGATTACTATTCTTAAATACAAAAATTAAAGAACGTAGAAAAGGTAAAAATTTCAACTGTGAAAGTTGCGTTAAATCAGATTACGGGATAATCAGAAAGGTATACGACTACAAGATTTGAGGGTTGAATTCCCAGGATTCAGAAGCAGGGTCGGTAGTAAACTGTCTATGGGTATCCCATGGTGCCTCGTCAAGGGAACAGTACGGCCACCAGCAATCTTTGCTTTCGATTTCGCCACCCGTCATTCGAATCGTAGCTTTCCCGGGCAACCTCGGTTCCTCTCCCTTTCTGTCCCTTCTCTCTCTCGAAGCGCAGACAGAGAAGTTTTCACGTGCGTGTACCGAGGGGTCTTTCGACTGACCCTGCTCCAAGGGTGGAGCTTAAAATAAGGGTGGTACCTCACGGCTTACCTACCCCATCGAGAAACAGCATTGGGGATGAGATGGAAGGAACAGTAGGAGGAGAGATATGCCGACAAAGAGAGAAGGAACACGAGGTCCTAGCTCCGAATGGAACGACTCCGCGTTAGTCGTAATTTAAGTGCAACGGACATCGGTCGTTTCGGGTGCCCAAGGTCGTGACAGGAATCGAAATCGCTAGATCAAAACGATTTTCCGATCGAGAGTTACGAGTGCGATCGAAGTTACTCTGGTGTGCAAATCGTGAAAAATTGTTGGAGAGGATTTTGCACGTGGTTGACGGAGTGTGGTGTGGTGCTCGAGATGTGTACGAATGTCACGGACCGATATTTGTGATAGTAAATCGGTATCTGTGCGAAGGAAGGTGAAGATGGCGCCTACTGTTGAGAGTCATGGACGACATATCATCTTGGAGAGTGATCCTTATGTCGGTAGCTGGAGACGGAAACAGGCAATGAAAGGTAGAGGATTTGAAGGACTATTTTAATGATGGTTTTTGATGGATTGGTTCGTTCTAATTGGTTTATGGAGTTTGTATGTGGACCATCGTGTAGCTGCTATATTCGCATAGCTACCGCTTCGTATCGATGCTACATTTATTTCATTCGCTCATCGAAATTGAAATTTTGTTCCCGAATTTCATTTATTTGTGCTATTTGTCTAATTTTGTATTTATATCGAGTGAAGGATGTCAGTTTAATAAAACTCAAAAATTATTGTTCTCAGAGGCATTCTCGTAGTCCACCATTTTCTCGAATCAGTTCCACGATTATGAAACGGCAGTTTCTCGATTTTCTTTGAATCGACGGTTTGCTAAAGGTGTGTACTTACACACATTCTGAGAATATGGGCAATGGTACAAGCTATTTCTATTGTGTGGTGCGTGTTAATTTTTCTGTGGCTCTTCTAGGTACCATAGCGATACTGAGAATCGTTGAAGAGAATCGACAATAGTCTGGGAGGGTACAGTCAATTTTGAACATTTGTATTACTTTCTATATTATATTCTTAAAATTATGCAATTCTAAGGTGGTTAATTTTTGAGAATTTGCTGATGTTTCAAAATTTTTTAATTTAAATGTAAGAAATTACGTAGACTTGAAGATTGGAGAATACATAATCTTGAAAGTTATAAAATATCTTAATTTATAACTAAACCTTGTTACAACTAAACTTATAGTTTAGTAAACCTAACCTTGAAAGTTACAAAATATGTATCCTTGAAAGTTAACGTAAAAGTACATCACCTTGAAAATGACAAAAGTACGTAACCTTGAAAGTTAATACAAAAATGCATCACCCTGAAAATTACAAAATACGTAACCTTGAAAGTTAACATAAAAATACATCACCTTGAAAATGACAAAAGTACATAACCTTGAAAGTTAATACAAAAATGCATCACCCTGAAAATGACAAAATACGTAATCTTGAAAGTTAATACAAAAATACATCACCCTGAAACTTACAAAATACGTAACCTTGAAATTTAATACAAAACTACGTAACCCCGAAACTTAATACAATAATACATCACTTTGAAAATTAAAAAATACGTAACCTCGAAAGTCACAAAATATCTAAGTCCAAAAATCTAAAAATTTACAAAATCCAAACCAGTAAAAAGTACAAATCCAAAAATCTCTGTAACCTAACCCTACATAAACCATACTCACCCCATTAATACTGACCTCCACGTCGCCTTCGACTAACCTTCAACCTCCCAAATAAATAACTAACAAATCACCTAACAATAAACAGTCTAACTCAAAAGAAAGCTGCGATCCGATGTTCCAACCTAAACCATACTACATAAACCATACTCACCCCATTAATACTGACCTCCACGTCACCTTCGACTAACCTTGAACCTCCCAAATAAATACTTAACAAATCACCTAACAATAAACAGTCTAACTCAAAAGAAAGCTGTCCGATGTTCCAACCTAACAAACATTTGCAAACATTTCATGTAGCTACAGTGGAAGATGTCGGTACAGTGTCGCACGATTGGCGAGCGAAACGACGAACAGCAAGTAAAAAAAATACATTATTCAAGCGAATTTCCATTCGTGAGAAGTCTCGGTAGATGGGTAGCTACGTCGTTAGGTTGCTCTCTTGCCGGCGTTTTAATGACGGTTTGCTCCCTTTGCTTTCGGTTCTTATAACGAGCAGCTTCGGCATCGTTATGGCTTTCCCGCTGTTTCATTCTTCGACGTGGACGAAACTTCCGTCTCATCGATCGCCGTATTAGCGATATTATTCGCTGAATTTATTTTAACGCTTCTTTCTTTTGGAAAGAGTTCCAAATTCTGTGTTATTTTTGTTGTTAGCTCTTTCTTGGGTTTTGCGTTCTTGACTTATTTGATTCGTTGATTCATTTTATCTTGGCATTTTTCTTTTGGGAATAAAACGCAAATGCAATTTGAAATAATACTGAAATTCATCTGGGAATAAGACTGTAGTGAAATTTATGCTTGACAAATCTGTTTATATTTGTCTTCATTTTATATCTGAATAAGGGTGGTATGTGTACAATTATCTGAGAGTATGAAGTATATTCACAATGATAAATTACATAAAAAATGAATCTATAAAATAATGAATCTATTTTACATGGATAAAATACATACATCTTTTTAAATATAAATTTCTAAAATTGTTCTTTTCTGACACAGGTAACAGTTCTTCGGATACTTTGGACTTGAGCTCGCACAATCACCAGCTGCATTCGATGAACAATTCAATCGCTATGTCTGAACCACAGAAGGAAGTGAAGGAGAAAAGCAAAGACGCGGCTCGTAAGCGTCGCATCAGCGAGAATCAAGAATTTTTGAAGCTTGCGAAGCTTTTGCCTTTACCCACCGCACTCACGGCTCAGCTGGATAAGGCCAGTGTCATTCGGGTGACGACCAGTTACTTGAAGATGCGTGCGTTGTTTCCACATGGTATTGTATGAACAATTATTACATGCTACAAAAAATATTTCAAAAAAATAGTAAATATTGCAAAGAATGTGTCAAACAAATATTAAACATTACATAGAATATGTCAAACAAATATTAAATACTTAAAAGAATATTTAAAAATAAATATTAAATGTGTCAAATAAATATTAAATATAAGAAAGAGTCTTATAAACCTTGAGTACAATAAGGGTTATAATAAAGAGTATAATAAATCTAACCTAATCTTGTTAATAACAGAAGAGAATTTACGTAAAGTAGGAGTATAATAAACCTAACCTAACCTTGTTAATAACAGAAGAGAATTTACGCAAAGTAAGAGTATAATAAACCTAACCTAACCTTGTCATTAACAGAAGAGAATTCATGCAAAGTAAGAGTATAATAAACCTAACCTAACCTTGTCATTAACAAAAGAGAATTCACGCAAAGTAACAGTATAATAAACCTAACCTAACCTTGTCATTACCACAAGAGAATTCATACAAAGTAAGAGTACAATAAACCTAACCTAACCTTGTCATTAACAGAAGAGAATTCATGCAAAGTAAGAGTATAATAAACCTAACCTAACCTTGTCATTAACACAAGAGAATTCATACAAAGTAAGAGTAAAATAAACGTTTAATTCGGCAATAAAATCCAGCCACCCTCTCGAAGAGAATAATTAGCAACCCTTAAAAGATGGCGATCGATTTGTGCGCGACACCACGTGCCCCGTAATAAATTTCACTTAGCGGTAAACGGATGAAATGGTATTCTTTGTTAATTCAGCCACCGAACACTTACGTGCAAAGGGCAAATAGTATCGGATGAGATGGATGTGATTGCGCACTTAATGCATTGTTAGCCCCCGGTGCTTTGTAAGCAAAGCATGGGGGCTGTTATAGTGTTACAATGGCTTCACCCCTCCCCCGTCGCTCACCCTCCGACGGTTCTTACGACATCGGTGAATTGAATTTCAAGTGGCTACATCCCTCTAGAATACGCTCGCGTCTTTATTCTTCGAAAAAAAGAATGAAAGGAAAGTGAAAAAGACACGTTGCTTTAGAACACTTTACGGTTTCTTTTCGCGCCAGCGAATTAGCCGGGGGAACAGGTAAACGAGGGTGAAAAGGGCTTGATTAAATACGTCTGAGGAAATCATTTTAGAGACCTCATGCTCGATTTCCGATAGGGGTATTAATTCATTTTATTGCCTTCCATTTCATTTCATTTCATTGTTTTTAGAGTTGGTTCGATATTTTTGAGGTTATGTTAAGGGTTGATTAAATTTGACTGAGGAAATCTTTTTGAAGAGCTCATACTTGATTTCTGATAGGGGTGCTAGTTCATTTTGTTGCCTTCCATTTTGTTTTTATAGTCAGATAGATATTTTTGAGGTTATGTTAAGGGTTGATTAAATTTGTCTGAGGAAATCTTTTTGAAGAGCTCATGCTTGATTTCCAATAGGGGTGCTAATTCATTTTGTTGCCTTCCATTTTGTTTTTATAGTCAGATAGATATTTTTGAGGTTATGTTAAGGGTTGATTAAATTTGACTGAGGAAATCGTTTTGAAGAGCTCATGCTTGATTTTCAATAGGGGTGCTAATTCATTTAGTTGCCTTCCATTTTGTTTTTATAGTCAGATAGATATTTTTGAGGTTATGTTAAGGGTTGATTAAATTTGACTGAGGAAATCGTTTTAAAGAGCTTATGTTCGATTTCCAATAGGGTTCTAATTCATTTTGTTGCCTTCCATTTTGTTTTTAGAATCGGCTCGACATTTTTGAGGTTATGTTAAAGGGTTGATTGAGATGCAGAAATCGAGAAATGTTCGATAAATTTCTCATAGACTGGAATCCTAATTAACTTCCACTTTTAGTTCGTGCTCGACATTTGAAGCAACTGTTTAATTTTTAGAAAAATTCCTGAGAGCCAAAAATGTTCTCATGAATACATAAACTTGCACCAGAATGAAAATGTTCAAATTAAAAAATGTAAACCAAAAATAAACTATGAACATTAAAAATAAAAACCAGTTGTTAATTTAATACATCATAGTTCGTTATAATTTTGGAAACATTCGTAATAAAAAGTTGTACGTTTTTATAGCGTCCACGATTTAGAGTATGGCGAGTTATGCTATCATTGCTATGCTATCTACTATGCGTTAACTATTCCATGAAATCCACGATTAGGTAGATAAGCGCGATATCTGATGAAATTTAACGAAACACAGCATATCGTTGACGAGATGGCAATAATCAAGCCATTTTCACGGAATTCCACACGATAGCAGAAAACTCCCCTGCAGCTGCAACCGTGGTACACGCGCTTCAATGTATTGTAATTAATGCGCAGACACGAAATACTTGGCTATAGGCTTAGTTACACGTCGAGTACGAAACGTCGCTAGAAACATGTATATCGGATCATCGGGATAAGGAGCTGACGTATTGTAATGTGTGCCATGTTCTCAGACAACGTGTCTTCCTTTCAACAACTTCATTATCGAATATCGTTACGTGAGATACTATCTTTGTTTACTTCGGTGGAAAAATTGTGGGGAAATGGAAGTTGTTTCTTTTTAGGGGTGGGAGATATTAGAATGCAAATTTTCAAATTGGGGAATTTGTGGAGACTTTGGGCAAATTCTAAAACCTTCAAATTTATAAATTTTCAAATTCCATGTTCTTAAATTTTCGGATTCTCAAGGTTGCAAATTTGAGAGGTTGCAAATTTGAGAGGTTGCAAATTTGAGAGGTTGCAAATTCGGGAGGTTGCAAATTCGAGAGGTTCCAAATTCGAGAGGTTGCAAATTCGCAAGGTTGCAAATTCTCAAGGTTCCAAATTCTCAAGGTTCCAAGCTCTCAAGGTTGCAAATTCTCAAGGTTCCAAATTCTCAAGGTTCCAAGCTCTCAAGGTTGCAAATTCTCAAGATTCCAAATTCTCAAGGTTCCAAGCTCTCAAGGTTGCAAATTCTCAAGGTTGCAAATTCTCAAGGTTCCAAATTCTCAAATCCCCAAATTTCCAAAATTCCAAATTCTCAAATTTCCAAATCCTCAAATCCCCAAATTTCTGAAATCCCAAATTCTCAAACCCCCAATTTCCTAAAATCCCAAATTCTCAAACCCCCAATTTCCAAAATTCCAAATTCTCAAATTTCCAAATCCTCAAATCCCCAAATTTTAAAATTCCCAAATCCTCAAACCCCCAATTTCCTAAAATCCCAAACCCTCAAACCCCCAATTTCCTAAAATTCCAAATCCTCAAACCCCCAATTTCCTAAAATCCCAAATCCCCAAATCCCCAAATCTCTAAACATCCAAATTCTCAAACCCCCAATTTCCAAAAATCCCAAATTCTCAAACCCCCAATTTCCTAAAATCCCAAATCCTCAAATCCCCAATTCTCAAATCCCCAAATCTCTAAAAATCCAAATTCTCAAATTTCCAATAATAATTATCGTCCGTAACAGAAGCTCCGTCAAAATAATTTATCAGAAGTTGCAGAAGCACTTTACAGAACAAAGCGAATTCTCTTCCATCAAGAAAACAAAATGTCCGAATAAATCCAAGTCGCGGTGTTTCAGAAAATTGGTTCGTTGCATTCAGCAGGGAGATCTAACGTCGGTGAAATCATTTTTCAGGTCTTGGAGAGGAATGGGGTGCTTCGCAGCCAGCCAACATTTCCCTGCAAATCGCCCTCAAGGAGGTGACTAGTTATATTTTACAAGTAAGCACTCATCGTTCTCTGTGTCGCGCCTTATAAATCTTACATCCTGCACGTTGTCGTACAAACAACGTTAAACTTTCCTAGAAGTCTCGATGTTCTATGATGTTAATCATTTTTTGTTTAATTGAATGACTAAAAGGCGCGATCAGAAGTGGAAAACTATTTTACGTACAACTGAAAGAACTCTTAACCTTAAAATAACGGAGCGAGGTCTGTTAAAAATAATTCTTAATTAAATTTCAAGTTTGAATATCTTAAATCTTTAAAAAATCAGAGACCTGACTTTGGTATTTAAGAGTTAATTTATAAAATTTAATCCTTGGACTTTTAATTGAAAATTTCATTTTTATGTTGTCGTTTTTGATAACATACTGAATTTTGTTAAATTAAAATTGTGTCTGATTATGCATTGTGTTGAATAGTCGAAGGGTTAAAGGAAGATGTAGCTTTCAGTAATATTTTTGATATTGTTTTTCGTTTGAAATTTAGGAGGAAAATTCTTGTTCCAGGCTCTCGAGGGCTTCGTGTTCGTTTTGGCACCCGACGGCAAAATCATATACATAAGCGAAACGGCCAGTGTTCATTTAGGAATGGCGCAGGTCAGAAACATTCACTTATTTGATAAATTATTTCAAACTCATCAATTTAATATATTAAATATATTAATATATTTATTTAACATATTTAATGTGTATTAATGTATTTATTTAACATACTTAATGTATATTAGTATATTTATTTAACATATTTAATATATATTAGTATATTTATTTAATATATTTAAGTTTGAAATAGTTGTCTCTGAGTTTGACTATTTTGGAAGCAGATCGTTCATTTTTAATTTACCTGACAAAAACTGTTGAACACAGGTGGACCTAACAGGGAATAGCATATTCGAGTATATCTACGACCACGACCACAATGAGATGCAGTCCGTTTTAAACTTGCCACAAAGTCCAGCAGATCTTGCTGGTGTCACCTTTCCACCCCCGAACTCGCGGGGTGAAATAGAGCTGGAGCGTATTTTCATTTTGAGGATGAAATGCAATTTGGCGAAGAGGAACGCGGGTCTAGTCACAGAAGGATACAAGGTATTTCAAAATTTTATTTCATCTTCTCTCAAGCCTATCTTTTGAATGACTGATACAAAATTACTTATATAAATTGTGTTTTTAAACAAGAGCTCTTTTTTGTTTTTTATGGACGCCATTTTACTTTACAATACACATAGAAATCATGCATTAAACATTTTCATGTTCATATATTACATTACATTCATATATTATAGTAACTGATACAAAATTAGATAAATAAAGTACAGAGTGAATTATATTTTTTAACAAGAGCTCCTGTCCTTCATGGACGCCATCTTGTCTTACAGTACACACATAGAAATCATGCATTAAACATTTTCATGTTCATATATTACATTACATTCATATATTATAGTAACTGATACAAAGTTAGATAAATAAATTACAGAGTGAATTATATTTTTTAAGAAGAGCTCCTGTCCTTCATGGTCGCCATCTTGTCTTACAGTACACACATAGAAACCATGCATTAAACATTTTCATGTTCATATATTACATTACGTTCATATGTCACAATAACTGATATAAAGTTACATAAATAAATCACAAAGTAAATTATATTTTTTAACAAGAGTTCTTGTCCTTCATAGTCGCCATCTTGTCTCACAGTACACACATAGAAACCATGCAAACATTCTGATGTTCATATAATTAAAAAATAAGTTATTATATAAAAACTGTTATTATTATAAGCTGTAAAGATTATCAGCTGTAAAGATAAATATTAAAATATGTAAAAAATAATTCTCCCGGTTATTAAAGATGAGGAAAGATTAAGAGTTTATTGGCTCCAGAAAATCACGCAATATTCGCAGCAAACAAAAGCCCGATTGGGGGCATTTTATATCCGAGAGGATCGTTGATTAGCATAAAGCTTGCTTGCACAGGAAATCATAAAACGTATAAAAATTCAAATGCTAAATAAGAGATAAGAAATGGCGAGCTAAGTAGGGACGTTATTGTCCTGGTCACGCGCCAGTCGAAAAGAAAACGACCACCAGGTAGAGATGCCAAATGTTCAGATTCACTAGCATCCGTTTGGTGCAATAAAAACATCGACCACATTTGTTTCATATCCTAAACAATTCATTGGTTACTTCCTTTCAACAATAATTCCTTTGTGAAGGTTGTCTTCATTTACATTTGCTCTTCATTCCACATTCTTTTTTTTTTGCAATTTTTGCTTCTTTTGGGTGACTATTTTTTGTGACATGGATATGGGTTTGACTGAGGTTGTGACTGTGTGGTTTTTGAGGAATTGGAAAAATAATAATGTGATATTAATTTTGTGAATGTTTATTAGGGTGTTAGATGTATAAAATTATATTTTCAAACTCTACACAGAATTTCACAGAATTAAATTTTCATCTGGTTATTTATAAACCTTCATATCTACATCTTCACCTAACCTAAACTTAAACTTTCACTGAACCTAACCTAAATTTCCATATTCACACTTTAAAAATTAATATTTTCACTTTGAATAATTTATACCATAATAAAGTACAGCTTATAGCAAACTACATAAAACTACACAAAACACAGTGTGTCCCAAACTATACTTTTACTCTCATCCACTTACTCTTCCATATTAAAAGAAATATTTCTTGAATTACAAAAAAATTCGACAAACCTGTGCTTCAAAATTTGAACCAATCTAGGACCAAACTTAACCAATTGTGTAATCAGTTTCTTTTCCAAATTTTATTTCACAGCACTCGAATTCATGTAAATCCACGAAACGCGTGCCTCGCACCTCCACAAAGTCGAGCCAACTACGATTCGTTCTTTGTGCGTTTAAGTGCCATACAAAAAGCTGGTCCCCCTGCTCCTCGCAGCTAACAGTTCACAGGGGTTGCATTCATGACTTTGCTCAACGCCTATTGGGGTCTTCTGTGTGCGATTTCGTCGAGAGCCACGGTCATCATAGCGCTACGGGCTTGAACGAGCTATTTGCCAAACATTTTCCTTCTCGAGGGCTGTCTCCTTTTGCCTCGGCAAGTGCAAAGTGTCGCAGGTCCCTTTGTCGACCCGGTGTTACCCCTTAAGTATAACGTTATTGCCCGGACATATGTCGGACATTTGTCGAACATAGATCCGCAAAAATATTGGGGTAACTTTCCGAATTTCGGTCAAACGTTAATGATCGTAAAGGAAGGCATGGATTGGTTTAATCGGATCGACTGTCATTTAGATAAGCCTCATGGTGATTTAGACGTGACACAGCGGCTCATGATGGAGGGATTCTGAAATTGGTACAAGGTTGTTCTGATTAATTTTTTTATCGTAAGGGCGGAAGTTTAAGCAAGGATTTTATTGAGGAGTCTGAATAATTAAGGAGAGGGTACAATAATGTGGGTGCGAATACTATTTGCTTTATTTCAAGGCTTTTGATAGAAACAGGTTCGAAATTCTGTTGTATTATAATTATATTTAGTATTGTTCAATAAATGATCAAATATTATTTTGAATAATATTAAGATCTAAAATACAAAAATTCCCATGCGCCCTCAGCCCAGTACAAGCAAGCCCATATCTACAGAAATGGAGTTCGCAGTCGAAATTAATTTTCTTCCGTCGTGTTTCACCCTCGTGTCCCCATACTCGCGCGCGAATGCAGCGGAATTGCATACGGGATAAGAGACGCAACGCGGGCATACGAACAAGCCTATTTGCTTCACAAATTCGCGGTGCACTCGAGACGCGAGGAGCGCGACGCTGAACGAGGCTTTTTTTTCTCATCGGCCATTTAATTAAGCAGGAATTGTTAATTTGCCCGGAACAGCATCGTCTCCAACGCGAATTCTCGCGTTTCAGGCACCCCGGGATGCTGCTCGAGTGTCGCACTTACGCTCTATCAGCATTTGCTGAATACCATTAAGAATAATCACGTGCACATGTGTAACGATAAGTCCCCGTGTCAAGTGTTCATCGCCCTTAATTGCGACTTTCCGTTTGAAATCCCGCCTTTTAACTGTCTGGCCTCTAATCAACGATCTCAAAACTTAATTAACTGTCAAATTTTTCTGGAGGACTGTTTAATTTGAAGTTGATGTCGAACTACTTCTAATATTTCTTATATTATTATCTTCTATCGAAGTACAGAAAAAATTATATTAATGAACAACAAAGAAAATTATCAAAGCAAAAAAGGAACTTTGTTACAGTTAAAAAATTGGATTTTGCAAATGACATTTCAGTTGACAATGAAGTCTGCAAATAACCTTCAACTCCAAGTTACAATTCCGAATTTCATGAAATTTTTCCAGTGATTCAAATAGAATAACATTATATCATGGCAATTATTTACTGTGTCTGAAATTTTGCGTTGTGCTCCCCGAATTTCTTCAGCATCTGACATTTGAAGCTCCAGCCAACATAATGAATTTTGCCTGTTACAGGTGATACACTGTTCAGGTTACTTAAGGTGTATCGTAGAAGGAGCTGTAGGATCAGAATACGAAGATGGCAGCGGTCGCTGTATTCGAAACATCGGTCTCCTCGCCGTGGGTCATTCTCTACCCGGTCGCTCCCTCACGGAAATCAAATTGTACCAGAACATGTTCATGTTCCGTGCGTCGCTGGATATGAAGCTCATATTTGTCGATGGCAGGTGAGAACAAAAAAGCATTCACTATAGACTGCATTACTCATCCATTGAACTTCATAAATTCGTGGTATTTCAAAAATGGCGTCTTTCCGATAATTTGCTCGTATCAAATACAATAGAAAGAAAACGTCAGATTATTTCTGTCGTCGTAATTACGTCTCGGTGTTGAATTGCTCCGTCGATATTTCGACGCCAGGGTCCCGGCCATTAAAATCAGTTTCGTGTTACCAGCGACCCGGTAGACATTTTTTTCCCTTTCCTTTCTTCCCGTTGTTCTTCCCTTTTTTTTATTCGCGTCAGATAAATATCCAACGTGGACAGGGCTGTATCGTGAACGCGCTGGGAAACGAACACGTGGTGAAGTATAAATACAGGGTTGCGCGATGGAACGCGGGATGAAATTTTATACGAGCCAGGAAAATCGATTTCGCGGCAACTGACGGTTATGTAAACCTCGAATCCGGGCTGCTTTAAATCCGAGCGGAAAATAAATACGTTTTGGAGGAAACGTAACGTTTTTCGTTTCTTTTCGTGATTTGCAGCGTTTCGCAGCTGACTGGGTACAACCCTACGGATCTCATCGAGAAGACGCTGTACCATTACGTGCACGGGTGCGACATGTGGCAGCTATGCCATGCTCACTATTTGTGTAAGTATAAGCACAATTTTTATGAAGTACATTATGATACAATTTTTATTAAAAAAAAATCAGAGATGTTCAATTTGTTAGAACAACTTATTTTGCTTGTCTCCCAAAATGGCTGCCATGTAATAGGAGCAGTGACTTCACTCTCTGCTCACATCAAAGCAAAATTGATCAAAGTAAAAAGGCTGTCAAGTGAACTAAAAACACTGTCAAATAATCTAACAAACATTGTCAGCTACGTTGTCAGCAATAAACTAAACTGTCAGCTATGTTGAAAATGCTATTTTACGTACGCATAACTTCTGAACCACATGTCCCCCATTTTAACCTCCAAAACTTGCGTCTCCCAAGTATTATAAAATAGTGTAAAGAAAGTAAAGAATTTTTAGTGGCAAAAGTTCATCCAGAGCCTGCAAGATAGGGCATATTTTTGCGAGGCTGAAAGCATGAGAGTTGCGTGGTATCAGAGGTGCTCGAAGAAGAGTCTCGCAAGGCCGAAAGCAGCTGACGTTGCTTAACTTGGCGACGCCCTCGCTGGCGAAATATCCTTTGATCTTTCTTTTCTCTCCACCTGAAGAAGCCAGCGACTATAACGGCATTTCCCTTTTTCTCTATTATTTTTTCCACCCCCTCGCTCTCCACGCGCCGCCACGTTAAAGTCTAAGTATATGCACACGTAGGTACATACAGGGTGTACATTATTGATTGAATAATGCTGCTACGGCGCTATGAGCCGAGGAAAAGAGAAGCTGTCGCGCGTTCTGTGTGTGCGTGTAGGTGTGAGGGTGAACAAGGAGAAAGAGAGAGAAAGGGGATGGAAGAGGACAAGAGAGGAGGAGGCTGTTACTGCTATCACTGTTTGAACAGACTCGCAGTTTCACGAGCGCAACTCGAAGGGTGCCTGACATAATGCCACTAATGTCTGCGCCTGCGGATTGCGCGATCGTTGTGCTCAAAAATCTTCTTTTACGAGACAAATTTTCAGCTTACAATCTTTCGAATCGAATGTTTTTCTTTCGTATTTCGTAAGGTCCAGACGTTATGCTAACATTGCTCCGAGAGATTATACGAAGTGTGTTCTATAACGGAGGATTTAGGGGCGACGAACTTTTTATGTGCACATGTCAGAAGTTTCAAATTAATATTTATCAAGGTAAAGGAGTCGAAAATTGTAATGAAATTATGATGAACCTTCAGTGCATCATTGATTCGATTTTTAAAGAAGCGTACACTTCTGAACACTTACAGTAATAAGACGACGTCAAGAAATCAAGATTCCATTTTTCAAATTTATTCAAAAAGTCTTGAATTTCATGGTAACCTTATATCTCCACAAAATCTATACTTAAAATGTCACAACCTAGTAATGTGTGTCCACAACTTCATAAGTTTCTCCTAATTCAATCGAAATTGTGTCCACAGTGTTGCGCAAGGGACAAGTGATAACCGGCTACTACAGGTTCTTAGCAAAGTGCGGAGGCTGGGTGTGGATGCAGTCCTACGTCACCATAGTCCACAACTCCAGAAGTTCCAGGCCACACTGTATAGTGTCAGTGAACTACGTGCTATCGAAACCCGAGCACACGGAGCTGGTACTGAACTGCGAGCAAAAATCGTATTGTTCGAGTCCGAGCGACCCACCGAGCGCCCCCATGTTGACACCTACTACAAGTGCAAGCGCCAACGATTTGGACAACCACAGTCCCAGTTCTCCAGCCTTTCGGAACAGGTCGAAAGAATCCTTGGACAACGATTATGCGAACGGCAGCGCGTATCCCAGTCCGGAGTATGTCGATCTGACGAATCACAGCCATTATCTGTCGCCTTCGTATCAGCCGCAGAATGTGAACAGTAGTCCTCATGAGGATAATTCGAATTACAACTCTGACTGGTTTTATCAGTATGGAGGTAAGCATGTTTCGTATGCAGTTTGTATTAACCGGACACTCTGGAAATTGAATTATACGTCGAATATGGGAGACTGTTATTCAGATTAAAGTGCTCTGAATGTTATGTTATGCACATCTTTAAGGTTTGAGGAACATTTTCTAGATTATTAAAATATTCCCGGTAACTTCCAGTACATGGAAGACAAAATGGTAGTCGTTGAAAGAACGTCACATGTTAAGTAAAAGTAGCATACGCGAAGTATATATTCCATTCCAGCAGTTAGCTCTAGTCCAGTTGAAAGAGAACAAATGTGCAACTGGTTCATACGTGTCTCAAACTCTCAAAGAGACTCAAAAGTACCAGCGACTTTAGATTAAAAGACGACACCGTTTATTCCAGATATGCACCAGGAGCCACTGGCATCAGTACCGCAGCAAGAGTCGCATCCACATCCACTACACCACTCCAACTCGCCATCGAACTTGCAGCAACCCAGTCCTCAAAACGCTCAACAAAAGCACCAACATTCCCCTCACCTGCTGGACACGACACCTCCAGCGAGTCTGCCACAGCCGCAACCACAGCCGCAGCCACAACCTCAGCAACAGCAGCCCAGTCCTCAAAACAGTCAGCAGAACCGGCCATACTCGACGTCCTCCAGTTCCTGTTGCAGCACGGACGCCATGGACACTCACCTGCCCAGTCCATTGAGTCTCTACTCTCTTCCACACGGCTACCACCCTTACTACCATCACTACATGCCCGACTCCGCGCCCTCCAACCTGAACGAGGTCGGCGGCGTCATCATGTACCCCAACTGTGGCCTGAACAACGAGGCCCACAACGCTCCCGCGACCAACAACGCCTCCAGCAACGTGCAGCACTACGAATCCTCCTATCAACCTCACTCCAGCCACTACAACTCGAACAACAACCCAGTGAAACACTCGTACCATCATCTGGAACCCACGGCGGCTGGGTACACCAGTGTGATCGTGGACTCACAGCAGTATAGTCCCAGTTCGGTTCAGGATCTCATACATTATCAACATCATTACGAAGCGCATCATCAGTTCGTTCACTGACACCAACTAGATGTGCCCTGCGTATAGCACGTTGACAACTGCGACCACGAGTCGTGCTACTGTGAACAACCAGTTGGAGATGACCGGCGCGATGGCGAGCTGAGGGACGGTGATCCGACGGATATCGAACTTGTTCCCATCGTACGGTCTAGTAGGAGAATGGTGCACACGGATAGGGTCAGCAGGTGAGTGACGCCTTCCATGGGTGATCAGCTTCTATAGAAGCAAGTCAAGTTTTTAACTTCTGCAAAGCAGAATATTCGTGTAGGTGAACTTTCAAGAAGATAAGCCTCCACATCTCAGTTTGGTCATACAGTTGGCAAGTGTCAGTGACTGTTAGAGTCTCATACGTTAAGTATGTTAGGTATACACCTGCTAAAACTGTAGCAACAGAAAGTGCGCTTTGTTTAAAAAGCATACGATACTTGATCTTCTCGATCGGGACTGTGTACAAATTTTCATACAGTGTTCGTGTGAATTGTAGAAACACTGACGAGTGTGGTAATTTAATTAAAGGACAATTATACTGCCGAATTTACGCAATTCTGCGATAATAGATGTACAATGGATGTACTTAACGGATTGGTAATTTAAGAATGTAAAGGATCTAGACAAAAGGTTAATATTTGTTGATCCGTTATGATTTGTTGCTTAATTCACATATCAAACTTAACTTTCAAAGGAGCATTTTACGTTAATCGTTAAGCCTCTTTTCTGTAAAAATATCTTAACATATCCTTAAACTTATTTTTGATAATTAATCAAGTTATTTATACAAGTTTAATTATTCGAGTAGAAATTGATTCGTGTATTTAATCAGCATTTTCTCGTTTAGATGCCTAATTTAACAGATCCATAACTTAAGGACATTTTCTAAAATGTTACCTTTTAAAACCTAAACAAACACTTTAAAATCGATTTCAGCGATACAGAATATTTCAAGATCAAGAAAATATTTTAAAACAGTTTCGATTAGGTTTAGAGAGGTAAGCTTTAGAAAATGTCGGGTGAAACACAAAATGGCGAATCAAGAATTTCTGCGTAATACACGCTGGACGTGAGCAGCTAAAATTCAACGTACGATTTTATACGATTTAATTAGCGGACTGTTCTTTAAGTAGAACGGGAATTAAGGCGTTGTTTTTGTAAATAAAGGGGAATCGGATTATTTTCATGGCGTCGGAGGGTAGCGCGACGTACGTAATTGTAGACATGTAAAATACGTAGTTGTTATAGCTAAGATCTCTTCCTCTCTCTATACACGTATATACTCGATATTTGTTAGATAGACCCGAAGACTGACCGGTGCTTGTACCAACCGACCAAAGAAACATCCCTTAAACGGAAAGAAATGTCGATGTATCTTTATTCGCGTTTATTTTCATCCTTTGACTGTCGACTGCAAAAGTGGAAACAAGAGATGATGTTTTTAATTTGTCAATTGAAAAACTTGACAATTTATGTTTATGAATTTTGAACTTGCTTTAATCTAAAAACTTGAACTTTTTGTTTTTCATCTAAAAACTTGAACTTCTTGTTTTTGTTCTAAAAACTGGGACTTCTTGTTTTTAATATAAAAACTTGAACTTTTTGTTTTTCATCTAAAAACTTGAACTTCTTATCTTTGATCTAAAAACTGGGACTTCTTGTTTTTAATATAAAAACTTGAACTTTTTGTTTTTCATCTAAAAACTTGAACTTCTTGTTTTTGATCTAAAAACTGGGACTTTTTGTTTTTCATCTAAAAACTTGAACTTCTTGTTTTTGATCTAAAAACTGGGACTTTTTGTTTTTCATCTAAAAACTTGAACTTCTTGTTTTTGATCTAAAAACTGGGACTTTTTGTTTTTCATCTAAAAACTTGAACTTCTTGTTTTTGATCTAAAAACTGGGACTTTTTGTTTTTCATCTAAAAACTTGAACTTCTTGTTTTTTATCTAAAAACTTGAACTTCTTGTTTTTCATCTAAAAACTTGAACATCTTATCTTTGATCTAAAAACTTGAACTTTTTGTTTTTCATCTAAAAACTTGAACTTCTTGTTTTTTATCTAAAAACTTGAACTTCTTGTTTTTCATCTAAAAACTTGAACATCTTATTTTTGATCTAAGAACTGCAACTTCTTGTTTTTAATCTAAAAACTTGAACTTCTTGCCTTTAATCTAAAAACTTGAATTAAATTTCTTGGACAACTTGCATCAAATTTTACGAAACATAACCAAAATTTTATTTTATAATACATAGTCCGAAGCTCTTTATTTTTTAAATGTATACTTTGATTTCTTATAAACAGTCGAAGGTTTGAACATCTGTCACGAATTTTGTATTCAACCCCTAATTATAGCGTGTCAAAACTTTCGAAATCAAAGTATTTAAGCTGGCAACTAAATTTGTTACTTTAGCATGAAAGTAGACTTTGTTAAAATTGAGTAAAAGTTAGAATTATAATTTTCCAAATTTGTAACAGCTTGCAGTTTGTGCTTTTGTTTGAATAGCTTCCAAGAAAAATTTAGTTGCTGAACGAGTAATTCCTCGAAACGTTTCCGAGGAAGTTAATGTATAAAACCGCGTGTAAGTATACAATTATACTATTATTTATATACAAACATATATCGATGTAAATTGATAGAAACGATAGCTGACGGAGATGCGTTGTAAAATAATGCGAGTCTAATGTAAGCGTTGTAAATATGTATTGTAAAAGTATAGCAAGCGCGCGCTGCATACCTACTATCGCGAGAAAATATAATCGATATTTTCCTCTGACCATTGATCTTATTGCAGTTCGTTCTAATCCTCTTTCAGCGAGGCCGAAAAGTCAACGAAGCTTTGGTTCTCTCGCGGAGACCACTGAAATTGTATTTGAACGAATACGATATTGAAATAAACCAGTTGAACCGAATCATTTTAAACCAGATTATTGAAGCTTCAGAAATTCGAAATTCTAGCTTTTTGATAAATAATGTATTTTTGTAACTACATTTTCCATTTTTTCGTTGGAATCGAGTCAATGGGGGTGGATTTTATGCTAAATTATTTGGTTTCATTTCTTTTTTATTTGTTAGCTTTGTGTAGCGTCAACTGTTTTAAGGACATAATATTATTTTTTCATTGAATTTTTATTTTTATAAATACATCTTGAATATAAAGAGGTGATTTTAAATGGTTTATAACTTCGAATATTTTTATATTTTTTAATTTTGCTAAATATTTTTGGATTTCAAAATGAAGTTGTAGATAATTTTTCATTTTTCTTCATTCAATTTTTATTTTTACAAATACATCTTGAAATTTAATATAAAGAGGTGATTTTTAATGATTTGTAGCTTTGAATATTTTCATGTTTTTCATTTTTGTAAAATATGTTCAGATTTCAAAATGAAGTTCAAAATGAAGTCATAAATAATTTACGATGTTTCTTCTTTTAAATTTAAAAATATGGGAAGTTTGAAACATATGAAAGATCTTGAAGATCATCAGAGTTTATCATTTTGACTTTCGACAATTTAAATTTGTTCATTCAAGACAAAAATTCTGAAAATTAGAAACTGCATATGAAAAGTTAATTCCTTAAAATTACGTGCACGTTTTACAATGAGCTTCAACCAAAGGAGCTTTCATAGCACGGGAATATACCTGTAGGGACATTATTTGACCGGTCCCCGGTTTACAGCGTTTTGTTTTGATTGTGGGGATTCCCCATTATCCTCAATCTGTTTTCCAGCAGGTACCCGTGAAAAGGAGATAAGGTTATATACCGAGAGTGCGGTACGTTCCCCTCTCTCTGAATTATGGAGATTAAGCTGAAACATATGGGCTCTCTGGAAATACTCCCAAGATCCGTTAGATTTACATCCACCTTAAGCTTAATCTATAGAACAAAATATTTCTGAATTAAGAAAATAAAATTGGAGACTTCACTGTTTAAATACAACTAAATTATTGTTACTAAAAGTACAATGTAAAAGCAGAAGCATCGTTTCAAGTTTTAATATAAAGTAAACATACGTTAATATATTTTAACAATTTTTTTTAACTAAACTTGAATATGTTATTGGTATATCAAATATTAATATATTAAACTTATAATTATGTTAAAAGATAGTTTCTTTTAAAACAACAAAATTCTTGATAAAATTATAAAAAGTCACAAACGACATTATAATACTAGATATTAATATATTAAACTTACAATTATGTTAAAAGACAGTCTCTTTTAAAACAACAAAATTCTTCAGTTACAAAATTCTTGATAAAATTACAAAAAGTCACAAACGACATTATAATACTAGATATTAATATATTAAACTTACAATTATGTTAAAAGACAGTCTCTTTTAAAACAACAAAATTCTTCAGTTACAAAATTCTTTATAAAATTGCAAAAAGTCACAACAACATTATAATACAAGATGTTAAATCGTACAAACGTTAATTAAAGAAAATGATCAGGCTGAACAAATTAATGGTAGCGTGACAAAAGAATAACGAAGGATCGACCGACACAGGATTCAGAACCCCTCCGTAAAATAGAAGAAAACAACGATCCTGTTTTTCTCCACTGTTCCCCCGATTGTCACTGAACAATAAATTAATTGTGCCTTGTACGATTCTTGGGTTAGCTTTCGGTGGTCGCGTGCTTCCCTGCATGGGGTCGTTCATGAACAGAGTCACGTGCCTCTTTATAGTCGTCTCGCTTTGCTATTAGAACGACTCGACGTCTAACAGGACAGGTTTCAGAGTCACTAATTTTCGAATAGCGAGATCATTGAGCGATTTAAAACGAGAATTCGAATGATTTAATTTTAAAGATTTTTTTAAGGATTCATAATTATGTGTCAAGTTCTTAGAGTCCCAAATTTTCTATACCCACATCCCCAAATTTCTAAATCCCCCGAATTCTTAAACTTCCAACTTCCTATATTCCCAAGTTCGTGATCCTCCAAATTCTTCAACCCCCAACTTCTTACATCCCCAAATTTCTAAGTCCCCCGAATTCTTCAACTCTCAACTTCTTACATCCCCAAATTTCTAAGTCCCCCGAATTCTTGAACTCCCAATTTCCTATATTCCCAAATTCGTAATCCCCCAAATTCTTCAACCCCCAACTTCTTACATCCCCAAATTTGTAAGTCCCCCGAATTCTGGAATTCCTAATTTCCTATATTCCCAAGTTCGTAATCCCCCAAATTCTTCAACCCCCAACTTCTTACATCCCCAAATTTCTAATTCCCCCGAATTCTTGAACTTCCAATTTCCTATATCTCCAAGTTCGTAATCCCCCAAATTCTTAATCCTCCAAATTCTTCAACTACCACCTTCTTACATCCCCAAATTTCTAATTCCCCCGAATTCTTGAACTCCCAATTTCCTATATCCCCAAGTTCGTAATCCCCCAAATTCTTAATCCTCCAAATTCTTCAACCCCCACCTTCTTACACCCCCAAATTTCTAATTCCCCCAAATCCCTATGCAATAAAATTTTCACGATTCACACCTGTAGCTCTCAAATTCCAAAATTCTCCAAATTTCTAAGTCCCCCGAATTCTTGAACTCCCAACTTCCTATATTCCCAAGTCCATAATCCCCCAAATTCTTAATCCTCCAAATTCTTCAACCCCCACCTTCTTACACCCCCAAATTTCTAATTCCCCCAAATCCCTATGCAATAAAATTTTCACGATTCACACCTGTAGCTCTCAAATTCCAAAATTCCCAAATTTGCAAAAATTACCGAGAAAAATCGACCAGTAGTTTTTCTCCTTGATCGCTATATTTTGCCTAGGGAAGATTTGCTGTCGACTGTACTGTGAATATATATGTACGATGTCGGTGTAACGAGGACACGGTAGCTAAGGGTTGCTCCGATGCGTTCGCCAGGGTTGCTATTATCGAGCGTGTGTGACTGGAACGACGATCGCACCGGAGGAGGGCGAGCCGCGTGCGGCTCGTTAAATTCTTCGTCCAGCGACTCTGACGCAGCCACGATTCTGTGAAATTGTGCGATCATTCGTCCACGGATGCGTTCGTTGCCGGTGGCGAAACTACCCGCGATTAACGTGTTCGCCAAATTCACTGATCGCTTCTCACTGCAATTTGATCTGGGGGTTGTATTTTACTGATGACTCTATTTTTATACCCTTTGTTTCTATTTTTATTGAATCTTTGTCTATCGTGTCACACTTGTATTCTACAGGTCTACATACACTATGTATAACATACGTTGTATATTATAAACATATTATAATATAAGTATGTATGACAAACATTATAATTTTATTGTGACAAATCAAATATACATAACAATTTGAAAGTAACAAATCAAACATACATAACAATTTGAAAGTAACAAATCAAATACACATAACAATTTGAAAGTAACAAATCAAACATACATAACAATTTGAAAGTAACAAATCAAACACACATTGCAAATTAAATGTAACAAGTCAGGCTCGTATTTATATTAAATCCACAAAATCATGTACTATTAATACCTTTAAACTAGTTCTTTAAAAACCTTGAAAAACCTAATACTAAATTTAATAATTTTGTACAAAATAAATGACAAAAATGTAAAACTTAATAATGTACCATTATGAAAATATGTTTAACTATGTACGCTCATAAAAGCAACGAAAAAAAGAATAGAATTCAAGCAAATAGGAGAAAGCTCCATAATTTGCACGAATGTTTAGATCGCACAGCAAACAGATTTCCAGTGGATTATGTTCTCAACGACACGTGCATCTTATTCGTTTCGCGAGAAAAGGAAAAATAACACCGAATGCTCGAAGAATAACATATGTCCCGTGGCGGAACTTTATGAGAGACGGGGTGAAACTAACCAGCCATAATCCAGGACGATTAGGAACATAAACGCGGATTCACGGGGTGCGGTTAAGTTAAACACTCGACAAATTGCGTGTGCCGGTAGAAGCACTTATGTACGTATATCTAAACAGAGGGTGTGATATTCTTACAAATTGTTAAGCTGGCAAATCTTCGGGGAAATTGCTGTGTGACGCGTGTTGTAAAAATCGCTTAGGGGAAGACTGGGATATTTTTTTTTATTACTGGGATTTTTAGGATATATTTTTCTTATATACACATTTTTTAACTGAGTCATCTTTTTGTTATACGTTAAAAAAATAATTTATGTAGGGATAAATTTTTAAGCAAATATGATGTCAAATAATTTTTTATCATTTTTGTATGATGTCATAAATTTTTTTAATTGATATCTTTCTGTATTTTGTCAAGTTGTGAAGGGGTAGTTTTGAACTTGGAACGAAACTGTATATAAATATAAAATGCTACAAAGATGTTACACAGTTTAACTTTCTTAAACACACTAAAAAAAAGGCATAAAAAATCCCAATATCAAATTATTCAATAAATTCACTTTCAAAATCCCACTGTCTTACAGTTCCACAGATCCCAAACTTACATTGAATGACTACTAAAATTGCTAACAAATAAAAAAGCTAGCTTTTCATAGAAAAATTGCAGTCCATTCTTATTCGAACGTTTCTAATCAATTACAAGGTACTCGCTTCCAAAGAAGATATCGCATTCGGTTACTAATTGAGCGACAACAAATACGTATAGTAAGCCCAGCGGTGGGAGAACTTCCCCTCCGTTGCTTCCTAATCGTGGGAAACCTACTGCGTGTGTGGGTGCAAAAAGGAACGAAACGCGCGGGAACAGTGTAAATCCGAGAGACAAGTCCAGATGGCGCTTTTGTACATGTAGGTGCAGTTCCACACATGCACACGTACAGGAGACACACCTGTTCAAAATTTGACGTACACACACGAGAAGATAGGCTTGTGCGCAATCAAGGCGAAGGGGTGCTTTAGCAGAGTCGCCCCACGGTTGCCAGGGAAACGGCACGTAACACCGCCCACAACCCTCGGGCTGTCTTGTCCGATGTGTTTGCTCGATGATTTTATACCAATTATGGCCTATCCCCATGCTATTGCCTACTCCCCGTAGCATCGTCTGTATCCCTACCCTATGTCCTCATCGCCACCCACTTCGACGTTGCGTATATCGGTCGGATGGTGCTCCACTTCCGCCCTAAAAGAGACCTGAAAAGTACCTGCTGTACGCTCGGGCAAACATGGGATCTTCTGGGTTCTCGGGTACTCTGCTATGTGTGGAGATTTTTGGGATTGGGCAAGTCGTTCTTGGAAATTTGGGGATTTGGGGAGTTGGGAATTTTGGGATTTGAGAGTTTGGGGGGTTGGAGAGTTGGGAATTTGGGGGGTTGGGACTTTGGGAAATTGGGGATTTGAGAGTTTGGAGGGTTGGAGAGTTGGGAATTTGGGAAATTGGGGATTTGAGAGTTTAGGGGGTTGGAGAGTTGGGAATTTGAGGATTTTGGGATTTGAGAGTTTGAGGGGTTGAAGAGTTGGGAATTTGGGGATTGGGGACTTTGGGAAATTGGGGATTTGAGAGTTTGGGGGGTTGGAGAGTTGGGAATTTAGGGATTTGGGGATTTGAGAGATTGGGATTTGGAGAGTTGGGAATTTTGGGGTTTAGGACTTTGGGAAATTGGGGATTTGAGAGTTTGGGGGGTTGGAGAGTTGGGAATTTAGGGATTTGGGGATTTGAGAGATTGGGATTTGGAGAGTTGGGAATTTGGGGGTTTGGGACTTTGGGAAATTGGGAATTTGAGAGCTTGGGGGGTTGGAGAGTTGGGAATTTGGGAATTTGGGGACTTGAAAGATTGGGATTTGGAGAGTTGGGAATTTTGGGGTTTAGGACTTTGGGAAATTGGGGATTTGAGAGTTTGGGGGGTTGGAGAGTTGGGAATTTGGTAATTTGGGGACTTGGAAGTTTGAGGGATTTGGGAATTTGAAATTTTGGGATTTGGAGAGTTGGGAATGTGAAGATTTGGGCCTTTGGAAAATTTAAAGATTTGAACATATAAGAATTGAAGAGTTTGAAGAGTCAGAATGTCAGAAACTTGAAGATGTGAAACCTTGAAAATTTCTAACTCTCTAATTAAATCTTAATTTAATTTAATTAAATCTTACCTTAAAATCTAACATCCTCTACTCCTACTAAAAGTAAATTTCCAAAGACAGAATTCTTTCCAAGCTTCTCAAAAGAATCCAAATCTCCAAACTTAAAATACCAAATTATGGTTTGAACCACAACTAAGAACAATGACACCCCTTACCGGAAGTGTCTACGTACCCTTCCCCGTAGCAAATTTGTTAAACGATATTGTTCTCACGGTTCGAGAACGCATCGGAGAGTCTTGAGAAATTGAAACACCAATAGCGATATTAAATTTCTGAGGATGACACCGGATCGCGAGGGAATAATTACCGGGACACACACGTTGTCGGGAGTTAGGTAGACATTAATGGAAATGCACGATAAAGGGATTACGAACGGTTGTAGGATAAATATGATGTATCGTTTTATTGATGAAATGCGATCTCGAATTGCATCGGTTTTTGCATAAAATACCCTGTAATGTTCACTATATTTTCTGTTACAAGGGTGTAAAGAAATTATTTTTGCTTTTCAATGAACGATGCAGAAATTGTTAAATGTATTTGTGTAAAATGATAATGTAACGATAAATAAATATGGTTAGATAATGTAAAGTAAATAAATGACGATATTGTAAATATAATATGGTAATAAGTCGATAGGATGTGTAACACGATAATATTTATTATAAATATATAATACACGTTACAAACAAAACAAATGCTATCATATAGAGACCTTTGGATCGAATCAGTGCGATGGAAAATAAATAATCTAAGAGACGAATATATCGTACAATCTTTCTAATAGCAATTGTAATTAATTTATACTGTATTAATAAATTGTAACCATTGAACTCTTACAACTATGAACACATACAATTCTATTTCCCTGAGTGACTAATGCGTATGGCGTCATCTACTAGCAACTGAGTGTACCATTATCAACTTCTTTGAGAGTCATCGATCGTAGATAAATGAAATTAAGTACTGATTAATCACCGTTGTGTCTTTCAACACACTGTTCAAAATCCTCGATTTTGCAAAAGTACAAATACTTTTCAATCATATAGAAAAAATATCTTTTACAGCAAAAACGAGGTACACTTTACAAAGCGTATCTAATTACACCACATTCTCTTAACTTACTAATATGAACATAATTAAAATTTCGATCGTGCCTCGTGATAAGTCCCATAATAGTCTTTCTTCGTTCCGAAATCGTCGTTAAAGTTATCGGAACCGCTGTACATGGAGAATCCACGACGAGATAATAGTTCCCCTGGCACGATCGTCGGATTTGTGTAACAAAAGTCCGCCATCATGTTCGTTTGTCTATTCAGTTGATTGGACCTGAATAATTTCATCGACTTAGTAAACTTGCTAGAAGCAGAAAGTGTTAATAAGCAATTTTAGAAGTAACTGTTTCGGTTCGAAAGGTTTTTAATCCTTCGCAATCTCTTTTTAAACGTTATGAAGTTTTGGATAAATATTGCAAGCTTAATTAAAAAATAATTCAAGAATATTTCAAGTGCCAGAAAGTATAAATACAGAATGAATTATTATAATCTGAATTATGTGTTATAATGCTCGTTATATTGAGGGCTACACACATGCCCCAGTGTAGGAATCCTATAAACCACTATACTGTACAGGGTGCCTCACAATTAGGTCCCTGAAATGGGGAGTAGCTGACAGCTTCGGATAACGCGTAGTTATCCAACGCGTAGTAATGTAACGCGTGGTAATTCTACGCGTAGCAATGCAACGCGTGGTAATTCTACGCATAGGAATCTAGCGCGTGGTAATCCAACGCGTAGTTAATCGACGCATAGTAATCCAAAACGTAATAATCCAGCGCGTGGTAATTCTACGCGTAGCAATGCAACGCGTGGTAATTCTACGCATAGGAATCTAGCGCGTGGTAATCCAACGCGTAGTTAATCAACGCGTAGTAATCCAACGCGTAATAATCCAGCGCGTGGTAATCTAACGCGGACCAATCAGAGCGCGGGGATTACGCGCGCTGTCGCTCTCGCGCCTGCGCCTTGAACTGCAATTTCTACTAAAATGAAAATATAACAAATGAACTCTGTATAAATTCTCCCAACCAGTTCGCCAATTGCAATATAACTCAATCACAAAAGAATGCCAACCAAATCGAATTGCGAAGGATTAAAAACTATAAAATAGAAAAATAATAATAAAAAAAAAAGAGAGATAATGATCGCGTGCAAGCTTCTAATTCCAGTGCCCGGCTTGCATTCTTCAACCGAGATAAGTCGAACAATCGCGTCGCAGCAAAGATACGATATCAGTGAGTCATGAATTAATAGAAATTATATTTGTTTTTTTTTAATACAGCCGTGTCCCGCGAAACCGTGATCATTTATTCGTTAGAATGTGAATCTTACGTGACTTATTCCGATTCGTAGCTCGTCGATAACGTGGCACGTCCAAATACAACGATACGCCAGCTATGCCACTAATGCCCATGATTTTAATCAGAAATCTCGTCAATTAAATGCACTAAATGCAAGGAAAATTCGTTCGAGAAGCCACTATCTGCGCTGCGAGTTCTTATCACTTGTTTGAAGCGAAGCCCAACGGTGTTAGCGATTAGAACACATCACAATTTCGAAAGCAAGGATTAGGAATGGTAATTTGCATGCAGTGAGAAGCTTTTGTCTTTTGGGAGGTACGTTACTCACCCGTCTGTGCTTAATCGATTCAATTTGACAAACAGTATGCACACTAAAATGAAGAGCAACACGAGAGCACCGGCTGTCACGCCGCCTGCTATGGCGAAATACAACAGCAACTCGTCGGCTTCCTGCAAAATTTTTATTTTATATATTATTACATTAATTACATATATTATAAATAGTAGATATATTTACATTATTTTTATATATTATTACATATTATTTTTATACTATTTTTACACTATTTTTATGCTATTTTTGTATTATAATATGTATACAAGAATTATGAACAATTTACAGTGTTCCTACGTTGATTCTCTTATAGCTGCTTTGAAACATTTATTTGTTTGCGACAAATACAAATTATAAATATTATTAGAACTTTAGTAATTGACTCTTGAATTTTGGATTTGAATATTCGTTAAATACACTGGCACCTTCGATTTGAAACGCGTTAGCACTCAAGTACTAAACAAGGCTTTCGCTTATCTCTAAAATGTGTACACGAAACTATCTTAATAGTTACATCAATTACGCTTCGATTACTATTAAAGATAGAAGTACAGCTATAACTTTATCAATTTTGCTTAGAACTCTTTTAAACGAAATACTAACAATTCTACAACTTAAAAATTGCACCAACCACCCGCCATTTTGTTGTGAACCTTTCCAAAACTTCGAGCTAAAGAAATCTAATGAGTTCATATATTATAAAATATTATACGAAATGCAAACATTTAAACATTTTTAACTTTTATTAATATTGAACAAAATTTACAAGTCTTCCTAAAGGTATTTTATTACTTGTCTAATACTTTTATTTAAAAAATTTAATTTTATTCAAAATATTATTGAACCAGCAGGTGCAAAAAAATAGCTCAAATATTTCAGGAACATAGTTTATTAAATTTAAATAAATCTATTGAAAAATTTACTGTAAATAGCATTTTATTTTTGGGTATGCAAACGTCGATTGTCCCAATGTAAATCACAAGTGAGGAATTTCCGTTCAGATTACACTACGAACATAGCATTCGATTCAGTAACAGCAGCACAACGCATCTACTATTTTTATCACTACAAAAACATTTCTAGCAGTTAAAGGGTTAAATATCGTCGTCAACGATGCACTTAACGATACGGTTATTTACATTAGGAAAGTTATCTTTCGGTAGATTCATCAGTATAATGAATCACAGATTTTCAGAATTTTCTACAACAGAAATTTGTGCCAAACACTATCATTCTGGGGCTCGATGATAAGTAAAAATTGGGACGGTAATCTACGTTATCAAATTCTTGTCATTATCAAATAAAGGCACCTGTTTTTACTGGGTTTTAAAAACCTTCGAGATCCACTTTCGGTTCGGTAATTTTTCATGAGTCATTAATTCTTGAAGTTGAAAAATTCTCAAATGGAAGTCCCAAAATTATATTTATTAAAGAGTTAATTTTTATGCATCTGTAGGTCAAGTCTCTATAATAATCACTAGCATTAAAAAGTCTATAAATAGATTCCCAGACGTTAAAGTGTTAACAGTTTCGCCACGGTAAAAATAGCCACGTGTACACGATAATAAAAAATATCAATGATAATTAAAAAATAGTCAAAATTCATGATACAATATTTCACCGTTATTTAATATTTCGCCGTTACAAAATGTTACCGTAATTTCAGTGACGTCAAAGATTCGTTGATTCAATTTTCCAAGTACCTAAAATGCGGTGACCTCCACGGCAAACCACGCGTTAAATAAGTGGAAAAGAAACAAGAAATAAGAACACAAGAATGTTAAACAATCTTTGCCACGCACTGTTGCCTTACACTTCCTCGAACCGGCATTTCGCAACCGGAGTTTAACGCATCGGATGTCAACACGTCACGAAACTCAATAAATAACACTAAACGGAAAACAGGAAGTATGTTCGTGTCGTTTCATTACTAATCAATGTTTAAGACAAATTATATAATTGTTGACCCAAACTTTTATTTCGGATTTAGTAGACATCTTTGTTTCAGAGGATCAGTTTGTTCAAATAAATCTTTGGTAGGGAGGATAAAATTTATTGCAATAAATCTTTGTTTCAGAGGATAAAATTTATTACAATAAATCTTTGTTTCAGAGGATCAGATTTATTCAAATAAATCTTTGTTTCAGAGAATAAGATTTATTACAATAAATCTTCATTTCTAAGAATCATTTATTCTGTGTTAAAAAAACATGAGATTTATAGATGTAATAGAATGAAATAACAGTTAGTTTCATAACAAGAAAATAAAAATAGTAGGAAAGATGTTGAAACTACTGAAATAATTTTGTATTAATTTCATTTACAAAAATAAAAATTCCACCTAAGAATTAATCATAGAAGAAGTCTTTAAATTTTGGGGCTTTGAAGCTTAACAAAACATCATTCACATAAAACAAAATTTCCATAGCACCCCTATTTCCCTGGTACTCTCACTGTTAGGGTAACCCTGTTTGCTTATAATTTAATTCAGCATTGTTACAAATAATTACAGTGGTAAAATTAGCACAGTTCAATCTAGAAGACGTAATATAATCGAGTACATCCGATTCTTTCCAAGAACAGTATGGGATCGCATATGCATGGCGCGAATCGCTTTCATCGCATAGTGATTCTTCTTGCGCCAATCCAACCTTGAAGGCACATAGTTGCATCTCTAATAGACGGCCACCATTCGAGCAAGTCGTAATTAGCGTTACAAAACAAGCTTTATTCCACGTCTATGATTAACCTCGATACTTGCAAAAGTACCGACACGAGTACAAGAGTGTAACGCTCGAGACCGTACGAATTGATTAATTAATTGAAAAGAAGAAGTAACGCGAGTCAGAAAGTTACCGTTCGGTAAACGAGCACGATTCGATCGTCATAACATCGGATGAGCGACGACCTTGACGTATTGTACTCTGACAAAACTCTATCTACGCAAGTGTATTTACTACGAAGTATGAAAAAAAAGAAGAAAAAGAGTCGAACGTGTACTTACCATGATAAATATAACAGCGAAGTTAAAAGCGGCACGAGACCTCCCTGGAGACAATACTCAACTGGCGTATACAATCAAGATATCGGTATCAGCGCGTTATCGTAGCCAAGATATCTGCGAAAATCTGGTGGCATTGTCAACCTGTGCTATAAAATTTATTTCAGCACTACATTAAAAAGTTCAATAGATCCGTAACTTGTCTCATCACTGGTCACTCGTCGAACACAATTATTATAATCGAAACAAATTACTGGGAGGAATAAATAAACTCCTCGAGTGAAACACCGTAGAAACAATAAAGATCTAGCTGGATAATTATAACGACTTCCGGTTACAGGATTAACCGTTTCCCGAGTGTATGGGCTGCCTAGTAACTCGCATGATTTTTGAACGGAATAGCTGGATAGATAAGTGAACACTAATGTTACACCCAGACGAGAGTGAAGTAAAGTGTGTAACAGTGCCAGCAAAGCAATACTGAATGCTGATAAACCCCTCCAGACTGCAAGGTGTACGCGAACACACGTGTGTGTGAGCGGCTGACTTCTTGTAAGGGTACCGCGTCCTCCGCGCTCGCCAACCGAGATCACTCTTTTAACGAGCACGTGTATTCGCGTGGGTATTATTTGATGTTTTTACTAGAATCGAACACCAGTCTGACCTGCAGACACGACCAACAAAGACCGCCTCGCGTGAGCAATCTTCATCCACTGAACACAGCTGTCTTTGGCAACAACTATGTAAACAACGTGGACGCAACTGGCATCTTTCAATTGCGCAAACTCTTCGAGTATCGTGGTTTTTATTAAGAAACCGTGCATTGACTTGACTTGAGCATTTAAGTCCGTGAGGTGCAAATAGGATGCATGTAATGGGGAAACTTGCAAGTTTCCAACATTCTAAGTCACAAATTTCTGAACATCTAAGATACCAAATTTCTAAACTTTACTGCTGTGCACGTATATAACAGTGCCCATGAGCTATTTGGCAATCACCTGGTCTGCTTATTCCTGACCTAGCTAAATATTTGTCATGTTACAAAGAAATTATGAAACTGTATCATTTATCAATTTTGAACTGCCACCTCTGCATGAATTTCTGTAGAAATCCATCACTCATGTGGTCAGGAATTCTATTATTCACCTAATTGAAAATATTCAGATTAGATAGTTGTGGATGATAGACATAACAAAGTATTATAAATATAACATAAGACAGTCAACATGTTAAATAAGAAAATTACAACAGTTGTACTCAAATATATTATATTAATTTTATACACCTCAGATTTGTTCCAAGATTTATCATATAAACTATTAATAATAATAAATTACAATAAAAATGTGTAGATTACAAAACATATACATAGTATATCGATAAAAAAATAGTATATTGCACACTTGCAACAAAAGTGACACAACTCAAAAAATGTGACTTTCAAATTATTACTATGATAATATAAAAGTACTCAACCAATTATAAAAACCTTATTTGCCTTTATAATTTGACTATTCAGGAGTAATTATTGCACTCCTTATTCGTGTGATATTATGCGGTTTTTGCTTCTTCTGGAATACTCTCTCTAGTTGTGGCACTTTTATTACAAAAGTATAATATTGTCATTTATATATACAGCTATTATACATACAGTTGATAAATATTTTTACATTATTTACACAACATCAATTAGCGTTGCATTGTGAGTCCTAGATTCATGTATAAAGGAGATCATGAGCCACTGTAGCACATGAGGAAGCATCATGCTCATGATTAAATATAAATAATATGGAATAGGCTGTGTAGAACCAATAGGACAGAACCATAAACCCCTCCTTGTAGCATCTCGTATGTGATGACTCAAAAAACTTGCTAAGATAATCCATGAGTAATAGCTGAATTTTGGATAATTAAGAACATTTGAGTAAAAATTGAATATGAACCACAATGATATTGGAACAGTGGTACAATGTAGGAATGGCCGTTTTTCTAAGTGTGTAGCATCCTGTAAAGAAATATTAAACATTAATAAACCATTGATTACCAAGATAAGAAGGTTAAAATATCTCTTACATTTATCTTCCAACTACATGCTGCGATAAAGTGATCTACATCGATAAAAGACGACAAACAAAAGCAGCAGAAGATACTTCTTAGATTATGAATAAGTGACAGTTTTGACAAGTTTAAAATCACTGCCCAAGTAAGACCACCGACTATTGCGTGAGTAACGTTGTCAAAAATCGCGCGTTGTACAACGGTTTTTCCGTATTTCAAACCTTGATCTCCGATGAACGAACAAACGCCTATAGCACCAGTCAATAACACGTTTAAAAAAATGTCTCTCTTTACTAGAAACATTCTAATAAACTTTTTACAAAATATCAAACACGTCTATCTACTAAATCTTCTATCATACCATACAATAAATATGTTACAAACACTACCTCGCCATTTTGGAATTCTGATAACTCAATGCATACCTACCGATGGTACTGAATGCTATAGTCTATTTCAACTAAGTTTTTGTCGACAAAATTAATATACTTCAAGGTTTCAGATTCGTTAAAAATATTTAACAATTATTTATAACTCCGTACTATATTTTATATGATAGATTATTTTATTTAAACCTTATTCTGATACACGAAATTTTAGAATGATCTTATCTGTAGGGCGAGGCGGGATACTTTTTTGACTTTGTTGATGTCAATCGAAATAAACTATTGTGACATTCGAAGTTTACTATTGAGTAGTATACAAATTTCGTAAATTGAATCCCGGTGAGGCAAGGTGAAAGAAAGGAAATAGTTTCCTTCATTACTACACACCGTATTCACTCCTCATAATGGTAAATACCTTCTTTTCTCAGTTAACATTCCTTTCAAATATCAGTGTTTTGAAAATCACGTATATCATGTTGCTTTTGTTCTAATCGAGCGTTGTTATTGCTTTCTGCTTCATTCTGTCGTATAACACATGTTACCGCAATTTCACGAAATCATTTGATAAAATAATATTCTTAGAGAATTGTTGCAAAATAATTGTATAATTCTATCACAAAAATGTCAAATTTTAAGGTAACATTTATATATTTCGTATCTCTTTCAACATAATTAATTTTGATAATTTAATGAATAATTTTCAAGAACGATTTTGTTAATAATATACTTTACTAACTACCAATAAGTTACTAACAGAGATCTTATACTATGTAATTTACTTTTAATTTACAAATATATTAATTTTATTCATAAATATGTAACATAAGAACATTATCATTATCATATGCTTAAGAATTTATTCATAATTTTTATATTTGTTTGTTTAGCCACCTGATTCTAAAAGAGAAGAATTTCGAAAATACCTTGAAAGGGCAGGGGTTATGGATGCTCTTACAAAGGTACTTGTGTCTTTGTACGAAGAACCAGAAAAACCTGAAGATGCATTAGAGTATCCTTTTAGTAAAATTTCATTGACCTGTCAGTACATTGTAAAATTTTACTTATCAATGTACTGATTCTATTTCCAGAGGGTTAATAATTATCAGTCTTTGTTATTATCAAGTAGTTCCTTAATAAGAATATAGATATATCCGTCAAAATTTAGGAGGAATTACCGAAGTTGATATTGAAATGGAAACATTAAAAAAAGAATTGGAAGAAGCTAAAGCTCAAATTGTTACATTAAAGGAAAAACTGGTAAAATATGAACCAACTGAAGGTGCGGAGTAATTAACACAGCAAAATTTTAAATTATACTTCCATACTAGTCTTTGCTGGACACTGACTTTCGTAGAGAGTCAGACCAACTACGTGCCTTACAATAGATATAGCAGATCACTTTTTAAAAGGATTTAGATCATAAGATAAATTAAGTTTAATTCTGCAAATTCCATTAATTATAAGTCTATTTCTTAATCATGTTTACAGAAGTATAAGTGACACTTTCCACTTTTGTTTCTTTTTTTTTTTTTAGCAAAATTGAACGCAATTACAAACATAGACTCTAGTTTGTAATTAAAGTATAAAAAGCAGGATATGATAAATTAGAAAGTAAAGCTCAAATCAAATTTTGTTTGATGTGATATTTCTAATAACAAATGTATTATTTTTTTTATACAAATAGTGTATATCTTTTTTATTTTGCAAAAAATATCAAACTTAAATCAACTAAGGTTAATATAATAAATGTGATAAGAAATCCTATTGTAGGTACATAAAACAACATATTAAGTTAGAATTCAGATGTATTTGTGGCAATATACATAAATATTGGTGTATCTAGCTTATAACCTAAACGTGTTTGAGTCCTTTATTCCATCAACATTATGAAATGACACTTTTTTTTTTAGTCACAGGCTTCTTTTTTTGACAGTGTGAGTAACTTGAAACAATTAATAAAATTATATGATCAGTATTAAACTATGCAAGTTTACATAACATTTGTTGTAATATTTATATAATTACCTTCTAGGTTTTAGGCAATCATTGCATGCAAATTGAATTTATTAAAAAAAAACAGCTTTCATGTTGGTTTAGCAGCTTGTCTGCGTTTTACTTCCCAATTATAAATGCGTGCCATGTTTACTTCAGTTGTTGTAAATTGATCTCTGACAAAATCTAAATCGTGCTCCACATAACTTAAGTTTCTTTTTGCAGCTTCAATATTTTTTGTTAACATTTCTTGTGCATCATCCAAGGTATATTCTAACATAACATTTGCCCCTAACCATAAACATACTTTATCGGTAGGTGGAATAATAGCTTTTGCATAAACTTGTTCTGATAAAAGAAATTGAGTTTCCAATTCTCTGCTGTTGTCCTTTTCTTGTTGTAATTTCTTAATCATTTCCAATGATCTTTCTAAATCCGGGATTTGTGCTTTCAGTCTTCTCCTCTTGTTCACCAAATTATATTCTATGAATTTATATTTGCCATGATTTTCATCCAGCATTTGGAGTACTTTGTCCGTCGATTCATTTTCAGGTTTTGCCATAAACGCGTCGACATCGTCCTACGCAAAAAAAGTTGTATAAACTTAAATAAACGTACGAATTTAAATATAATGCTTGTTTCTTTTGTGACCATATAAGGTTTGTCTAATTAAAAAGAAGTTAAGTATATTTTTATACGTTAAAATAAATATATAAATATAATACAAAGGACTGTTTGAAAAAATTGTAAATAAAAACGAGAAAGGTCTACGATTTTTTTACTTTTAATAGTTTTTATCGGTAGCCATGAGTATTACTTCCACGTAAAAATATTCATGGTAACAAAATACGCTTTAAATATAAACTGCCTACATATCAATAGCAATTTTATAATAATATATTACACAAATTTTATTTGGCAATAAAGTACTTACTACAAAATCGGCCTCCGGTATTCCGGCGTACGACTTTTTCTCTTTATCCTGACCAACGTCCGTTTTATTGTCACCGTCTTCCATCTTGAATCACCACACAATTCTCATGACACGCGACCGGTATACATTATCGTCTATATTACACCAAGAATTTTTAGTATAATATTAAATTGTACAAAAATATCACTTTGTAATTTTGTATCTAAGAATATAAAGTAAAGGTCTATTTAAGAATAGCAATTAAATATTATTTTACGAAACGTATATGTATAAACTTATCTTACATTTTATATCGTAGATTAAACAAGTGGTGTCCTCTTATGGTTGACTATGGTCATTAGTTCAATATTCAATACTACCGCCCTTGCCAAAAACTACCCCAAACATTTTCTTAAATAAATGCTTAGCTTTTACAAACTAATTTAATGAATGTGAAAGTATTTTAAGAGCCTCTTTATTACATGTTCTGTACAATTTATATTTATACGCTTTGTCCAAATTTTTTAGGAAACCATACTTATCGACGATTCAGCAACAATTATCGATGTATATATTAGACTTTTTGTTATTTAAAATAATAAGGAGAATAAAGTTTTTATTTTAATGAACATTTGTTCAAAGAACGTTTATTAACATTAAAAAGAATTTATAATTTACAATTATATAAAGTATAATAATCAAGCAAAAATTTGCAATCAATCCACGTTTAAAACAGCTTGTTTTTAAAAGCTGTACTCGCGATAATTTTATTATTTATCGATTTTCAAGTATATAAATAAAATAAATTTAGCATATTGCGTGATAATTTATGGATGTATTGCGGGTGGTAGGGACCTGTCCTTGGCTGCCATTTTTTCCAGGCTAGATTTGGTTTCGCGTGTAGCAATTTGCTTTTAAAAGTAAGCATTTATTTGTGAATATTTTATGACATATCGATTCCTATGAATTTGATATAATATGTATCAAGGTCCTGGAGCTATATCGGATGTTGGGATCCCTTTCCATTGACCGCCACTTTCCCTAAGGAAGTCAGATTTACAGTTGAGTGTACTTTATTTATTCGTTTAATTGTTTAATATAATTAAGACATACATATCAATTAAATATAACTAATCAGTGTATTTACACTTATATGTCACTGTCATTTATAAATGTTGAGTTGTCATATTCGAGGTTCTCTTTCTCCTTATTTTCATTTTTGAGGTCATGGTTTGAAGTTGAACCATTTTTTGTATCATGTGTAATATTTTTGGATTTTTTTGTATTATGTTCTGTTAATGTTTTTGGGTTATCGTTTTCAGGTACTTTTATACTTTTTGATACACTTGAAATTGTTTCTGTTAGAAAATCTAAAATAATGTTTGATATAAAGTATGTTTAATTTAAAATCTAATAACTTACGTATCAATAATATGATTTGATTATAAAATGTATGATACAAATATAACAATATTAAAATAAAAAAATAATACCAGGTTCTTGTAACTTCTGATGGAAGAGTACTTCGAAATTAGAAGATATACTTGATGGAACTTCAACATCTTCCATTAATTCTTGAACTGTTTTTCTTCTTCTTAAACTTTCACTTTGTTTTGAATTACTTGTTTGATTTACTACTGCATTTTGTAATCCCATAACTATGTCATCTGCATATTTATTTATATTTGCATCATCTGTTGAATTTTTTTCCTAAAAAATTATGGGATACATATTTTTATAAAAATCTTTTTATGCCATCACATTTATAAAATATAAATTAATTATTTAATCACAGCAGATTTTTTTGTTACTTTACCTTAGCAGAAAATGTTAGATGTAACTTCATATTAGCTAATATGTGAGAGAAGGTATTGATTCGATGTGCTAACATAGCTAAAAATTGGATAAGTAATATAAAAATAAATGCAATAATAAACAAACATCCAATTGGTTCTAAATGCATATATGTTTTATCTATATGTACCTAAACAGGCAAAGTTGATTATGTAATTTTTAAATATTAGTAGTATATTTTATAGTAATAAAATATAACTTACTTCATAATCCTCTACATAAGTAATGTTATATTCAATAGCAAAAGGCCATTGAAAATACAGGATATTTTTGTTAAGTTGCAGTAAAAAAATTGCTACCACAAATAGTGTATTTATCATAAAAAACTTTATGAGACATTTGTTACGTATATCTATCAAACCTTTTTCTATTTCTTTCTATAAAGAGATTTAATATTTGTAAAAGTTGTATCTAAATTTCTTAACTTAATTTATCTTTTACAATCCATACCTGTTTTTCCTCATCTTTTTCAATAGGATACAAATACTTCTGAATTAATTGTTTCCAAAACTCTTCTTCTAAATTTGGAAGAAAATCTACTTTTCCACCTTTTAATCGTTCATCTTGAATCCAATAAGGATTTACCAAATAATTTAGATGTTTTTGATGACGAATATAATGTGTTTGTTCTGAAATATCACTGTCATATTCTTGAGTTGTATCTGAATCTTCAGTAACATCTGATTTTTCACTGGATGGTTTACTTTCATCATAATTTTTTTCTTTTGTGCTTTCTTCTGTTATACTGCTATGCTTATAATTGCTAGAAATTTCAATTTTGATAATTTCAGTAACATCAAATTTTATGAAAGTAAAAATTGTAGTAATACCTTTCTATTTGTTCTAAGCGTATGTTCATTTCATTTAGAGAATTATATATAGCAGTTAAATATTTCTCTTCTTTTTCCGAATTTTTACATGTCCAAAAATTACATTTGAATAATTTAGCTAAAGAAAATTGGGATTCATTGTCAGTATTTGTATTGTTCTCATTAGACTGTGATTTATTCTTCATATTTTGTTCTTGTGAGATCTGAAAAAGGAATTAATTAACAAGTACAAATTAAATTTGTGAGGTATTGTTATAACTATAAAATTGTACCTTTTGTTGTACTTTAGATTCTCTGGTACCCCATGTAATATTATGTAGGTTGAAGATAGCAAAAATGATCAATAACATATACATTGATGGTACAGTAATATAATAAATGATTGCACTAGATAGGCATGATATTTCTTTTGGATGTAAGAAAGCTGCCATCACAAACTGACTGATTACAATAAAAAATAGGAGAGCATTAGGTGCAAGAAATCCATCTGCAGCTATTTGAAGCATTATTCCAACTAATACAATAATCATTACTAGACCATATATAACTGTAATAATTTCAGCCACTATAAGCTATAAAAGTATTAAGCAAAAGATAAATATTTATATTTAATTAGTAATTGATAACTTGTTGAATTTTTATGGTTTTAATAATTTGAATAATTACCTGGACTCGTACATTGAAGTAGAAACACACTATCATAAAAATAATGATTGGAATTAAATTATACCAGAAACTAGACCAGTTATCTATTTGGAAAGAAGTAACAAATGCACCAGACATCATTAAATATATAAAAGATGGTCCTATGATAGTGCTACCTATAAGATAATATTTAATATCTAAATGTAATATCAATGTATAAATTTATTTAAACGTTTTAGCTAAGCTAGTTACCTGTTAAAATCCACTGATAAACTATGTACAGCCATGATATATTATCATTTACTTTTCTGGTTTCCTTTGAACTGTTTAATAAATCAAAGGTGTTGGCCATAGTTGATGGAATCCATCGCCGTCGTTGAACATAAAATTCGTTGAATGTTTCTGGTGCATGGGTATAAGCATCACCAGCTGCACAATATTGTACCTAATAATAATTAATAACAAAAAATTTTTTTGAATATCCGAACTAACATATTATCAATTGTTAAAGAATCACAATTTGATTTATTTCAAATCTAAATTTTCTTACTTTACAACCAGCTTGCAGAATTAGTGTACAAAGCCATCGGTCTTCTCCTTGATCATACTGAATATAGTGTCTGGGTTCAGTTGATTTAGTTGCATATTTTGCTATGACATTATGTTGCATCAATGCTTTTGCTCTAAAAAGGGAAAAACAACCTGGGCTACAGAGAACAGCACCTGTTACATGTTCTGTTGATTTCTGAAGCCAGTGTCCAATTGCATATTCAAACTTTTGGAACCAAACTACAGGACCTATTTGCAAAAATGTGTTTTTAAGATAATGTTAAGTTTAAATAAATAATTTTGTCAAAGTATTTATAGAAATGTTTATAGGATTACCTTCTCCTACTGGATGTATTCTTCCACAAACTGCACCTAATTCCTTATCTTTGATCATTAAGTCTAATAATGCTTTAACAGCTGCTGGACGAAAATCAATATCTCCATCAAGTGTTAAAATATAAGTATTTTCTGCTTTCAATTCCTTAGTATCAATATCTAATGATGAGTTCATCAGACGATAACCAAGGAGATAATACATATACATGACTTGGCTCCATCTTTTTCTATGTCTTATTTTATTTTTATCCTTAAGATGTACAGTTAGACGTGTTTTTCCAGGTAACATCCAAATCAGTTGACCACCATATGGTGTTGGACATTTAATTGGTGGTGAAAAAGTCATACCAAGATTTCTTATATTTTTTTCCATAGTTTTCACAAATGTTGCCACATATTGATTTATGTGTGTGTCATTTTCATTGTGATCACAAGATCCTATACATCCATGCATGCAACAAAATGCATCATCAAAGAATATGTGTGCTGAAAACATTTGTTTTTTAATATCTATTTCAATAAATAAATTTAAATGATGTTATTGGGAATGTTATTTACTTTCAAGTTCATAATAATCACGAATAGTAATTTTATAATATTTTTGTGTAACTTTCATAGCACAATGATCTCTGTCCAGTCTTAAAATACTTCCAATTAGTTCATTCATTTCCTCTTTCGCTTCATGCCACATAGTTGCACAAGCATAAATTTGAGTAATACAAGGATTTTGTTTGATATCTGTATTATCTTTACTGATACCAATCTAAAAAATTTTTATTTTAGAATTAATATTAATAAAAAAATTATTTTTAAGAAAAAAAAGGTAAAACCTCTAATTCTGTAATGAAGTTTGTGTATTCGTTTCCTGTAATGACACCATAACTTTCATGTCTTCTCTTATTTAATCCTATAAACTGGTCAGTCATGAGACAGTCATAAGTTAAATTATAAAAGATCTTTTCTGCAGTAGCAAGTCTTTCAACTTCTCCTAACCAGAGTTGCACAGTGATCCATATTTGTGATAACCACCATGCTATCCAACACCAGACACGCCAATTTAACAGGAATTCATGAATGTCATTATATTCAGGTTCATTAAAAAATAAATAATCTGGTATTGAGTTATGAAAGGTACACGAATCTTCTTTTCTCATGATACAAAATAGTGTGATTAAAGCTATGGTTCCTGGAGTAACTAAGCTTATTGGAAAAGCAAATCCAAACTTATGCATTTTAGTTTTGTATGCAAACTTAGCTGAAATAATATAAACAATGTTCAATATCATAAAATAAATATTGAAATTGTACATCTGTTATATCAGCACTTTATATATTTTTATTTTACCTGATTCGTACACGAGAAAAGAGCTAAAAGTATGCAATAAAAAGGTGTATAAAGGTGCAGATGAATCTACAGCAAAGTAAGATTCTCCACTATAAAGAGATTTTGAAAAGGGAACTAATTCAATATTATAATTCCTTTGAGACATAAATTGAAAAAATTCTTTAACTTCAATTCCCTGAAAAGTTGAAATCACAAGAGTACTTAAAATAAAAATGAGACTCCTCCAAAATGCCATATATCCGTGTAATATATGGTAACTATTTTTCAAGTCCATTTTTATTTTCACCAACATTGTTATAAAACCTAAGCCAAAAAATATTAAAGATATAAAAAATTTAATTATTGTATGTAATTATGTATTTATAATTATTTAAAAATGTATTATTACCACAATTATTGGACTGAGATATATAATTGCCCCACCATCGAGAAGAACATAATACAAGAGATATAGGAAGAGTCCAAGCTAAAGGATCATTTATATTGTAATTTATAAAGGGTTGTAAAACTAGCCCAGAGCCTTGGGCAATTAATGTTAAAGTATTACATCCTAATACTAAGAGAAATGTTGTACATGTTTTTGTATACCATTGATTTGGAGAAAATAAAGCTGCAACAAGAAAAGCAATATGAAAATATTCTTCTGAAATATAATTTACAAAAATAAATTGATTTACCAAACACAGCAGGAATGAAAAAAACACAGCTAGAAAGTGCAGCAGCATCTATGGAATTAATTTTTGGAAGATTATAAAAAATTAAAAGAGCTAAACCGCTTGACTGAATTGTTTCCAGTAGAAGAAGAAATACAATTCTTCGTTTCGCGGGCATCTTGACTTTTTTTTTGAAAAGAAAATCCCATACTGCATATATTATACTAATGCATTCTGGTATAAGAAACATAAAAATGATATACCATGTCCAAATTACCCTACCCTTTTTGGAAATCTGTACATTCAACTTTTCATTGTATTCTGAAATATGAAATAGTATAATGAAAAAGTTCTGAATCATTTTTTTTTTTTTGATTGTGTGATAATATGTTTTTTATGCAAATATTATTACCTGAATAGTGATCACAAAATTGTGTAGAATTTTTCTCTTCAAGTTGTGACACAGCAAAAAGAATTGTAAATTTGGAAATTAAACCACTACACAGGACAATGCAGAAGAGAATACCATACACTATTATTTTAATAATACGCATTAATATATCCAAACATTTCTTATTTTGCATTGATTCACTTTTCTTTTTTGGTGGGATACACTTAAATGTGTCCCATGGAAGGGGTTCTTCTGCAACCCTTTAATTAAATAATTATTATTGAAGTTAAATAATCTTTTACCTTACAACATAATCTTATAATTTCACTTATTTTAGCTACCAATGTTTTCAATATAAACATTAATAACAGTTATATTTTCTTACATATTTTGTGTTGTATTTTCATTTCCACTTTCAAAAAAAGTATTATTATAATTTTGAAAATTAATAAATGAATTATTCGGATCTTCCACTACTGACTTTGACATGATGAAGAAAAAAAATGATTAAGGTAAGTTTCATCGATTGCCGAAATTTTCATCGGTATTTTAAGTATATCGATAAAACTGATAAGATTTCGAACTTGTCGAAAATTTTATCTAGTATTTACAGAAGCGGAAAATGGGAAGGACGATTAGGAAATGAGTTGTACTTTAAGAATAGATTCTGAAACATTAATCAGTTTTTTTTATCATCTAAAGCCAAAATGATTCAGAAATGATTGATTGTTGAAAATAATTGTTGAAAATTATTGCAGTTTATTGTTGGAAGAAATACAATGTAATTATACACTGAGAAAATATTACAATTACAATTTTGTTTATTTTTCTTATAACAATACTTTAAATATATTCTTGTATTTTACATTTTTCTGTTATATTGCCACGCATTATATAGCCGCGTATATAATAGCACGTATTGTGTAGTTACATTTATCATATATTGCATAGTCTCGCACTATATAACCTTGAGTTATATAGTTTCACATTATATCAACACGTGTTGTAATCTGATATTGATTACGAACATAAATATGTAAACAACATTTTAAATTTACCGCTGTTTGAAGTCGAAGTCGAAATCGAAGTCAAAGTCGAATCATGAATCGAACCATTCGATAAAAGATAATCGATAATGAATGATCTCGGAGCACCTTTCACGAGATAGGTTCCTATCTGTGAACTACGCTTTGTACTTGATTTGTCAATAATCGAGGATAAAGTTAAATGCCGGATTAATTTGTTCGGCATAATTTAAATAAGTTTAAAAAGGAAAAAGAGGAGTCCAGGAACAATGTGGCGTGTCCCGAAATTGGCTCTTCGGGCCGAAGCCTTCCTTGTTCGGATGAAAGTATTAATACTGAAGATTGAGACGGTTTAACCGCAGAATACTTTTCTCGAGTACTTCTCAGTACTTTTCCAAACAATTGAACGTCTTCTCCAGGGCTGGAAATCTTGCTGTTAATTTGTTTTTTCAAAAATGGCATCACAGAGTCAAAATGATACGAACGTAAGTTCAACTATTTCACCGGCTAATGGATCGTCCGGATCATCGACGACCATCTCGGTCTGCACTACGAAGATGCAGTCACTGGATTCCATGCCATCCTCACAACCTTATCAACAACATTCATCGCCATCGTTGTCACCGTCACCATCACCGTCGCCGTCGCCGTCACCGATGCAACAGCACCACCAACAGACTCTGCAACCCAGCAATGTAGAGGCAATTGACAAAAATTCTTCCAATACATTAAAAGTATGTTGTCATACAAACCTATCTGAAATTTGTATTCTGTTCATTAAGTTCAGTTCATGTTAAACTAAACATTGACCGATTGTAATTGTGAACTTTATTTACAGCGTAATCCAAAAATGGAACTAAGCAAAACTGATTTATTAAAATTGTTAGGACATCTTGAAGGAGAATTGCAGGCAAGGGATATTGTAATAGCAGTATTAAAGGTAATTTGTTCTTCCTTGATTAACTAACAATTTCATTAATTTTTGCAATAATATAGAACGTTATCAAAGTAAAATATATCTTTCTAATGTTTGTAACTTATGTTTGTTTTATAGTCAGAGAAATTGAAACACCTGTTAAGTACTAAATACTTGAGTGGAACTTTAGATCCACATGCTGCGCTTGCTCGTGATGTAGTATTAGTAGGGGGTGTAAGTGAGCATGAACCAAATCAAATAGATAAACAAGTTGCTACTTTAGAAGCACTTGTAACCCAACAAAGACGTATGCAGTCTAAGATGACCAAAATTCTTAAGGAAGCTGAACTTAGACATAGAGCAGTATGTATCAATATTCTTTATTCAATTAAGCTATCTAAAATTTATCCAAGTTTTTAAAATTTTTATTACTTATTTCACTTCAGGTTATCAAAGAATTGGAGGAAGAAAAACGGAAACATGAACATGATACTGCTCAGGGTGATGATATTACTTATGGATTGGAAAAAGAAAGGACTCGCTTGAAAAAGGAATTAGAATTAGAGAAACAAGAAAAAAAAAGACTGGAATTAGAATTAAAGAAAGCAGGGGAAATTTTAGAAGAAGAAAAAACAAGACAAAAACAAATAGTACTTCTTCTACTAGCTGAACGTAAAAAAATAATTATGAAATATATAGAAGAAAGAAAGAGATCTGAAGATTTAGCACAGATTTTAAGCGAAGAAAAAGTACGGGTAGATTCTATGGCTGAAGGATTGGAAGAAGAAAGTAAGAAATCATTACAGATGGAGGCAGAATTGGAGAAACAGCTTGCACAATTTGATATGGAAAGACAGCAATATAGACAAGCTTTAGCAAAAGAGGAAAAAAGAGTTAAAGATCTCGAGTTAGAATTAGATAAACTTAAAAGTGAAATGGACGTGTGGAAAGAGACTCAAATACGAGGATCTCCTAGAGGAGTGGGCACAATTCCACCACCTCCTCCAGCCAAACCAGCTAACTTAGTTGCTATGCCTACAGTTAGGCCTGCTAGTGCTCCACAGACAAGTATGTTATGTTTAATAATTAAGTCATATACATGTATGAAATAAATGTTCTTTATTTTGTTAAACACCAATAGCAAACCAGTGATAACATTGGCATATGCTGTGGTGTCCAATATTTTAATGTAACATAATAGAATGAATAAATTTTATAATTATATTTTGTATGCAGTTAGAAGCACAGTGCTGGGCACTGAGACACCAATGGTTAGTAGTAAAGTCGTTCAACCCACTGCCACGGTATCTAGTGTTCCTGTCAGCGGTCCAAGTAAGAACAACACGTTTTATTCTAAAGTTGAAATAGGATTTAAACAATTAAAATGTTTTGGATATAACTTCTCTAAGAGAGTATTCGTGTCGTACGACAGTGGATGAATTAACAATTTACAATTTACAATAATTAATTTGGCATTAACACGAATCTATTAATACTGATGTTTAATGCTGGTTTAGCAAGAATATTGCATTTAACGGTTTTATTTACTTATAAAAAAATAAAAACTGAGCACTGTCCCTTTGAAATTAATACTATATATTGTGTTTTAAAATATTTATTAACATATTTAGCTTATTTTATTGAGTGTAGGTATTTTAAAACAAAAAGTAAAGTTACAGTAACATTGTAATGTATATATATAAATAATTTTATTATAGCTACTGGGATTGCTAGGTCAGTAACTCCTGGACAAGCATTACGCGGAGTCTCATACACGTCCAATATCACGTCTTCTAGTGGAGAAAGTGCGGCTACTTCTGAAACCCAGGTAAATTATCCTCATTTTCCTCCTCATTCTACTTTAATCTAGGGATATTATACGTTACATATTTATGCATACATTTATTGTAAAGACTTTTTTTCATAATATAGCTTTAATAATATTAAAATTTCTTGTATGTATTATTTTCGATATTTTATGTTGACTTTTAATATATTATCGTTTTATGCACCAAATTTATACACGCACTTTAGAAAGGGTTTTAATAATAATTATGTTTAGACGAAAAAGTAAAATAATAGTTGGATAATGTACACAGATATATTTTTAATAATTGTATTATATAAAAATTGATAGAACTTATTTTAGATACAACTTTCTTAAACATAAAATTTGTTTAAAAAATAGTAAAACTGTATATTGACGTACTGCTTAACGAATTGGCAGTAACTTCTGTCTCTTTTTAAAGCTACCAAGATATACATAATAGAAGTGAATTATGTAGGATTTCCATTATGTTTAAACATACCTATTGAAATAATCATACAAACGGTACTTTGAACGTGTTGCAGATTATTTGTTATCATAAGTGTTTTATAAATAAAAAAAATATTGGAAAATTTTATTAGACGAAGCGGTACTGTTTGATACTTTATATACGCATTATAATCATATAAGATCTTCTAGTCTTATATTTTATTAAACATTGAATGCTACATAGAATATTCTTATTGCATAATTGTTGCATGATAATAATAAATATAAATACATTGCATTATCTCTTTTTTAGTAAGCACAATTATCGTGCATTTTTTAACTTTTCTTACTATTTTTAATAGATTAATATAACAAAGAGAAACTGCTTTGGGGTAAAACTGGTTTCTTCTTTATTTTAATACGCGGGTATGTTATCGATTATACTTGTTGTAATAATACATCGGATACAATAGGTATAATCGTTCAGCTAGAAAGAAAAAATCGATGTATATATTTCAAAATGATAGTACATTATAATCATAAAATACGTTCTATATTTTTATACAAAATATGAAAGTAAAATGTAAAATGTAAAATGCATGAGGTAATATTAAAGATTTTAAGTAAAAATAAATAATAAATTATAAATATATGCTATATGCACACATCTTGTAGATGTATGTGTTTTCAATTTGACATATATTTTTTAATTACTATGTTCTCAATTATATAAACATTATATATTATACTGGGTGCTAATGCATATAGTAAAATTTATTTCATGGTGTACAGTTATAGTTACAATCACATGTTTTATGTCATCATTTATGCAATATAAAATCTCATCTTTTTATTTCTGATTATACACACACAATTTTCATTATTTGTAATATATTGATTATACTACACTGTATTATTTTATATAAGTTAGTACACCATCAAATTTTAAACCTAAATTGTATTATGCTATTCTTATTTTGTACATAAGATTACTATTTAGTATGTACATTGATTATTTCCTTAATTAAAAATTGTATGCCACTCACTTTTGAGCCTTATTTACAAATTTTCCCTGCTTGCCCTCCTAATTGCAACCTTTATATTTGCTACCGCTGCTAACTTTACATGGTTTGGTTGTTTATCTGTTATTTTTCCAAGCTGTGTGATGTACTATTCTAACAAAGAAAGTAGACTTCTATACAGTTCATTAGAGTAGAAAATTACAATACTTTTAGTTAAGTTCACTGTTATTAGTCTCTCTTGTTCATCAGAGAATATTTATCCTATTTTTTTCACTGATTTCTCCCGCTCCGTTGTTATCAGATTACAAGTTATTGTATGATACTGTTATTAAAATTCTGATTATTGGCTAAAATTCAACACGCTAAATGTAGTAGGACAAAAATTAAGAAATACATAATAAGTTGATATCATTTTAAATATATTCGTTGTCTCTTTGCTTTAGACTGGTGATTTGGTGTAATACTACTTTTCTCTTTCTCATTATACCTCAAATGCAGCAAACAAATCTACATGTACCCATATGAGGTGTGGTGTTTCAAAAGGGATAGCCTGAAGGTTAAATCGGTTCTCCTGTGTATTCATTCCTCAGGCTGTAGACAAACGTGTGGTTGTACCTGCTCCTGTAAATCCTGGAGGCACGGTAAAACTTATACCGTCAACGCAAACCGCAGGAAAGCTTGGTTTTAATGTTGGCTCTGGTTCGACGGCTCAAGCATCTGGTATGCTGCCTTCGAAAAAGCCACCGATAGTTCGCGGTGTTCCTCCTCCAGTGCCGCCAAATAAACCAGTAGTACCACCTAAAAAGGAAGCTGCTTATCTTAGGACACAAGTAACACAGGATGCCGTAAAACTTGGTAAACAAGCTGCGGCACATCCTCCAAGCAGATCAACTGCTCCTCAAGTACAACAGGCAATAGCAGCTCTTACTCAAGCCTCCGATGAAGAGGTCAGTAATGTAGCTCCAATGTTTTGCTCATCCGATTAACAATATCATAGATTCTTGTGCACTTTTCATTACTATTCAGTACTTGCCATCGACAATGTTAACATTCTCATCGGGTACTTAAGAAAGTACTACTTTCATATTATATTATATTGCTAGTAATATTTCACCGTACTATAATATCTTAATTACAAATGTTTATTTATTTAGGAATTGGAAGTTATTAAAACTGATACGTGATACTATAAGAAAAGAAAACTAAGGTTGGTTTCTTTACATTTTCAATTTGTTTGAGATGATAAGTTAAGAAATTCTGTAATTACTATTTGTGGTATTCTTGAGCAACTTTGTTGGGTACTCGATGAATAGAAATAGTAAATATATCTCTTCTTGATCTTTATTTCACACGAACGCAATTCAGAGCTCGTGAATATGATTTCAGACGAAACCACGTTGATTTAACAGCGGGTAGAAAAAAAAGTAAGCATTACTAACGTTTAAGAAAGTCTGAAAGCCGTGTAACGTGAATAAAACTTGGGGTGTTGCGTGTTTGGAACTACACAACGCGGGATTCCCAAATAACCAACGTTTCTAAATCAACGAAAGAAACGTACGTGCCCGAACTACTCGTTCATCGATTGATTTTACTTCGCGTACCATAAGTTACGTTTAATCAATATCGCTAGATCTCGCTAATCGTACGGATCTTGTGGATCCATATTGTAGCGATACAACCGACAACGTCAACAGCAGAACCATGCTTGTAATATTGTACTATAGCCGAGAGATTCGATCGATAACGGATCATTTAAACTATTTAAGGTAGACTCTGTAGATTCGTAGTTTATTATCCGCGATCTTTCCGAATTACGTTAAAGTCATTAGATAAAATTAATATCGTTGTAAACGTGCTACTCGTAAGAACGAACGATGCTGTTATCAACAGTGGACGTGAATAATAAATGTTTATGCAACAGGGAGCTAGATCGTGTAACATGTTAATTTAAACAAACAGAAATAAATAAACAGTAAAAATACAGAATACATTATAGGTAGGGAAAGATATGAGGGGGTCATTTAACGTTAAATCATATCAATAATAAATATTTGTTTTAGATATTATATTTGTTTACAAAACATTTTATGTTATTCCAAATATGTAAACGACTATTGTAGTTCAATTTTAAAACATTGTTATTCGATATTATTGCAATTTTAACGGTGTGTAGAAATTAGTTTAAGAAATACAAATTGTGTTAATTTTAGAATACATCGATCGACTTAACGTGAGGTGACCCAACAGTACATGCTATAATCACTGCCTTGCCTGACGTGCATTAATTGCGTGCATTATCAATATACAGACGATATACTGAGATATACAGGGTCGGCGCGAAACGGGTTTAGTTCGGAAGTCAAATCTTCATGAGCCGAAAACATTTTAATCTCGAGGCATTTTGAATCTGAAACACTTCAAGCTTAGAGTGTTTCGCGTTTAAATTGTTTTAAGTATAAAATGTTTCGATACTTCAAATAATTAGTTAAGCACATTAGTTAAGCACTAATTATTAATAATTAGTGAAGCACAGTGTGTTAATTTCTGATTTAAGGCATTTTAAAGCATTTCAAATTATTTCAAATTTGGCGCCAAACTTCAACTTTGAAGCATTTTAAGTTATTTAAGCTGAAAGTCTTTCTGGTTTAAATTATGTCGAGTTTGAGTTTGTTTTAATTAAAAGCATTTACAATTTCAATATATATGTACAAGTATATTGAATATTTCAATATACTTGAGGCTTTTTAAACTTCAAACTTGAGGCTTTCAAATCTCGAATGTTTCACGTTGTTGCTTTCCGAGTTCGAAGCACGTCAATCTTGAATTTGATATGTTTCGAGCTTGATGTTCCGAATTTGAATCATTTCGAGTTTGAAGGTTAAGTTTGAAGCGTACACATAAATACACGCTGGTTACTGGCCCGGTGAATGTTCGCGCCGGCCCTGTCGATACCCAAAACGCATTTTGAAGAAATTTAAACGATCAATGTCTCGAAACCTGTCGATTTGCTCCCGATAATATGCATTTGAAGAATTGCTATGGAAACCGATTAATCGCTGTTTATCCCGACAATACTTACACGCAAAAGTAGTATCATTGTGAAATTGACCATCGTAATCCACGTAAAAAGTCTCTCGAGGTGTTATCATCGATAAACAGAAAATCGAAACATAGACGGTAATTTATTTTCTACGTCGTTTCTATGAGCATGTCATTGATTTGAAGGTATTCCCGACCATGATGGGCCAGTCAAGCAATGATGTTGAATAAATAAGTAATATCAGTGATAGATCTGCAGTGTTCCGTAAGATGTGTTATATCAGGGGAACGAGTGATTTCTAAATCAAAATAATAGCATGAAATGTTCTTAATATTTTTATATGACATATCGTTCGTCGACAATTTCCTATTTATTACTCTTGTAACGTGTACGTTTGGATAAACTATATTATATACATATATACATACATACATACTGTACGCTTCAACGATTTTTATCGTAAGCAACCTTAAGATGAAGAAAAACAATAACGGTGATCACGTGAAGATATTAAGAACGATTTTCGGCTTGGAAATCCTTCACCCACCGAGTACAGTGCATCTTACGAAATTCCAGTACAAATTTCGTTCCCACAATGCAGAGTTTATAACAAGGACATGAATAAAATTATTCGTTTGTACACAGTTTCTCTTGTATAAATCATAAGTGGATGGAATTACAATACGTTCTCATAAACATATGAAACGATGTACACAAGAAAAAAAAAAGAAAAGAGTATCGAGTTATTTAAACATGTATCTCATCTCTGTCTCTCTCTCTCTCTCTCTTTCCTTTCGTACACATTTTACACGTGACCGTAGAACGTCTTTTAGAGAATTTTTAAACAGGGTGTCAGTATTCATTTTCGTCTTTTTCTTTTTCGAAGAATGTTCTAAGCTGAATGCGTGAATAACATTATGCTCCGTTTCGCAAGGAACACGCAATCTCTCCCGATTTCCTCACACTTTGGGAATATTGTAGAGCGATACAAGATTGAAAAGATTCGTGTAAGAGGTTCTTTGACCAAAATGAATGTTAACTGCGTTGCCGCCATGTTGGTTACCGATGTTGGGCGATTTTGGACGAAATTCGAGATTTTGGGGAATTTTGGAAATTTGCAAATTTGGGCATTTTTGTAATTTTGAGATTTGAGAATTTGTGATTTGGGGGTTTGAGGATTTTGGAAAATTTGGGGAATTTAGGAATTTGGGGATTTTAAAAATCGGAGACTAGGGATATTTGGGGATTTGAGAAATCGGATCCTAGGGAATTCTGGAATTTCAGAATTTGGGGATTTGAGAAATTCGACCCTAGGGAATTCTGGAATTTGAGAATTTGGGGATTCGAGAAATCGGACCCTAGGGAATTTTGGAATTTGCGAAATGGGACCCTAGGGAATTCCAGAATTTGAGAAATTGGACCCTAGGAAATTCTGGAATTTGAGAATTTGGGGATTTGAGAAATCGGGCCCTAGGGAATTTGGGGATTTGAGAAATCGGACCGTAGGGAATTTGAGAATTTGAGAAATTGGACCCTAGGGAATTTTGGAATTTGAGAATGTGGGGATTTGAGAAATCGGACCCTAGGAAATTTTGGAATTTGAGAATTTGGGGATTCGAGAAATTGGACCCTAGGAAATTCTGGAATTTGAGAATTTGGGGATTTGAGAAACTGGACCTTAGGGAATTCTGGAATTTGAGAATTTGGGGATTTGAGAAATCAGACGGTAAGAAATTTGTTTAAATTTGAATATTTCTAAATTTCTAATATTCATCTATTCAAACAATAATCAGTGTGATCGAATAAAAATTGGTAGATAAAATATTAGTTCTCGCGTGTCTTGTCAAGCATGTCTGTATCTACTGTGGCGGTCAACGTGTTAGAGAATGAATTGGTAGTCTTTCTTATGAATTGTTTTATCCATTATTAATTATTTCACTAAAAATTGTCTTTTATCCAAATTATACATTTCACAACAAAATTTTAACACTTCATTAATGTTTTTTTAAATCTCATTTTCAAGAACAAACATTTTATTTTCAAGAATATGGTATTCGTGAACATATTTATAATATAGATGAATAGTGTATCTATTACTATTTTATATCTTCCAAAGTAATTCAATAGTAGTTTTACTGTTAGTCACTTTTTTCGTACATCTACATCATAAAATTATTCTTATTGTCCAATGTTAAAATACACGAGAGAATAATAGAAAATAATGATGTCAATAAACAAGGCTGTACAAGCGGAAAATTATTGAATTGGCAATATAGACAGAGATCCTTGTAGTGATTGAAAGTTTGCAAATTTTTCAATTTGAGAATTTTTTTATATTTTCAAAGTTTCTAAATTTTATCATTTTTAAGACCCTCGGGATCCAATTTTCAAATTCACAAATTTGCAAATTCGAAATTCCTCAATTTCTCGAGGTCTTCGTTTTTTAATTTTCTAATTTCTCAAGGTTTCAATTTTTTAATTTTTCATGGTTTCAATTTTTTAATTTCTCAAGGTTTCAATTTTTCAATTTTTTAATTTTTTAAGGTTTCAATTTTTTAATTTCTCAAGGATTCAGTTTTCCAATTTCTCAAGATTTCAATTTTTCAATTTTCCAATCTCTCAAGGTTTCAATTTTTTAATTTTTCAATTTCTCAAGGTTTCAATTTTTTAATTTTCCAATTTTTCAAGATTTTAATTTTTTATTTTTCCAATTTCTCAAGGTCCAAATTTTCAATTCTTCAATTTTTCAATTCCTCAATTTTTCAATTTTTCAATTTTTCAATTCTTCAATTTTTCAATTCCTCAATTTTTCAAGTCTTCAATTTTTCAATTTTTCAATTCTTCAATTTTTCAATCCCCACATTTCTAAAATTCTATTCTCCCAAATTTTTACATATATAATTAAGG